TTTAACAGTATATCCGAAGCTGTCAATAGTCTAATTCATTGTTGCTTTTGTTTATTACAGATTAAATAAACCCGTACAGAACTGGAAATAAATACAATGTGTAACGTTACATGACGACAGAACTTGACGTTAACGTTACATATCATAACTGACATTACTGAGTGAGCTAACGTGTCATTCCCAGGAAAACAGTGAGGTAAATTTGGTTTTATATTCACACATTTAGACTTTAAAATATACTTTCTGAATGTATCAATTGCAAATTCTAAATAGTAAAATCATATTAACATTGTATTTGACTATCAAAGCACAACAATGTTCAGTCAGTAAAATAAGGCTAATGTTGTTTTGAAGTCATACTTGCATATGATTTCAGACCGAATATTCAAAGTAACATTACTATGGTAAACACTGTATAGAGCATATCACTGAACTGAATATAAAACCAACTTCACCTCAATAACCCAGAGCACTATCCCGCTTCAGAATGAGCCACGCGGCCCTTTGGATAAACTCTCACCTGCGTTCCCTTCCCCGCGCCGGGCGGCCCGAGCAGAATGGCCCGTATGCCTTTCCGTATACCGGAGACGGTATCGTCCTCTTGTGTGCTAGGGGCCATGGCTACAGCTTCTTTACTAACTAAACACACTTCTCTCCACTACACACTTTGCGTCCACTAACTCTCTCAGCCTAGAAAGGAAGTGGTAACGCCTCCGTTTGCTGAGTATGGACTCAAAACCCCGCCTTCTCTCACCAAACTAATGATCTGATTAGCCAAAGGCACGCCATTCACACAGAACGCAAGCTCATTGGATGAAATCGAATGCCTCAGTATCACATAGCATCCGGATTTTGGCCTAGAATGACACATCGCACTGGAGGATCAAGATGAGCAGGTTTATATCACAGAGCTTTAGATAAGGCGGAATGAGATATCCGTATCTAAAACGACACCTTAATGGCTATATCAGAATGTTCAAAGGTCGTTATTACGCGTTTGTTCTTCCGACTTAATTGATAACTTTATATTAACCACAGATCATAATTTGGAGGTCTTTTAACATTTTAAAACCTTTCATCAAAACCACTGAACAACAATAAAATAAAATATTTTGTAGATGAATCGAATCATTACTGTTATTTTAGTGAAAGTTGAGTGCTTTAGGATGTAAATTGTTTTAAATGTGATATATTGTATATGAGATATAAAAAAATGTGTAATTTTAGCTTTATTTTTGTGTGGTTTATATTTCTTTTAAAACCACAGTACTTTAAGAACTCAACTTAAAACATTCCAATATTTTCGCTAACGGTTCATTCAGCATTTAATATTTTATTTAACAGTTCTGTCTGGTTCTTGAATCTAATTGGCTGGTAGCCGTCCAATATCCTGCCAGCAACAGCACTCGTCCAGCCTCTTAACCCTTCACCCTTGTGTATTACTCTGCCCACATACAGCAACAAGCAATTAACCAATGGGCATTATAGGCACAGGCCCAGGGGCCTGTGCGCACTTGGGGCCCCTGCGAAGAAGGGGGAGGGGGGATGCCAATTTTGGAGTGTCTATTTAGGCTAAATGCAAATAGCGCACATCATTGGAACAAGCTAATTGAGTGATTCCCGCCCATCACCGTTTCATTGACAGAGACAACATAATTAAGCAGCACAACACACAGTAGCATGATTGGCGTAGCTCGTAAAGTGCATGGCAACTTGTTTTGACGAGATCATGAACCCGGTTCGAGTCCAGCGTCTGATTAACTCATTTTTCATTTCCCCCCACTACATATCAGATTTTGCCTAGTTTTCATCACGAGCAAGACAAGTAGGAATCATTAATAAGTGTGTGTATTATAGAAGACTCAGATTCATAGAATTGGATCCAGGGGTGTTTTATCTAAGTCATATACATTACAAGTGTGTAGAAGTTATACATTAAAAATACCCTTAAACATAATTTTTTTTGTACTGCTTCAGTGAACTTGAACAAGTATATTAAAATCTATTCATTTTCACTAGTTGTATTAATATTTTTTTCTGAAGTGTGCTTTAAAAATGAGTTAAATCTCTGTAGACTAGAAATATATGTACTGTATATCATTTACTTTAAAAATGCAGGCAATACATTATTCATTTATTCATTTTCTTGTCGGCTTAGTCCCTTTATTAATCTGGGGTCGCCACAGCGGAATGAACTGCCAACTTATCCAGCAAGTTTTTACGCAGCGAATGCCCTTCCAGCCGCAACCCATCTCTGGGAAACATTCACATACACTCATTGACACACACACTCATACATTACGGACAATTTAACCAACCCAATTCACCTGTACCGCATGTCTTTGGACTGTGGGGGAAACCAAAGTACCCGGAGGAAACCCACGCGAAGGCAGGGAGAACATGGAAACTCCACACAGAAACACCAACTGAGCCAAGGCTCGAACCAGCGACCTTCTTGCTGTGAGGCGAACGTGCTACCCACTGCACCACTGCGTCGCCACAATACATTATAGATTATATTATTTAAAAAATATTATGTATTAAAATTTTTTTTTTTTAACATAGGGGTGCGACCAGGTAGGAGGCCTACAAGACATTTTGCCCAGGGGCTTCTGAATTCTTAATCCAGGCCTGAGCAGAGGACCTCTTCAGTGACAAATATCACTGCTGTTGTGCAAAATAATATACTTTTGAGGCTTTTTTTAGTCGAGAATGTAGTCGTTTACATTGCAACTAACGTAGACTAACCATATTCTGTACACAACAATTTTCTGTATAGATGACCTTTTAACACCAATCTCTGAATAAATACTTACAGGTCGTAGACAAGCTATATATCTGTGTAATCTGTCTTCTTTCATCCTCGATCATAACAGAGACTCTCCTACCAAATGTTTTCGAAAAAAATCTGTAAGTTTGCTACGTCCACCTAATGCGCTTGAAAATGAACATCGGCAGGCTCAAGGTGAGAGTCATCAGCTGTGTTGTCGCGCGCGTACTCAAGAGCGGTGTTGTCGCGCGTCTACTGAAGGGCGGGACCGAAGGGGTGCCGCGTCGCGGGGGTACTTTCTATCCAAGACTAAAAAGGGCATGTGCACTGCACAGGTTGAGCCCTATGTGTGCACGTGCCTGCTTAGGAGGGAGACATTTAGAGCAAGAAAAAAATGCATTTTAATTAAATTTATGCAGAATGCAGTTTTAGTGATATTTGAATGAATATCATGTTATCACAAATTGTTAAATAAATGACCATTTCTTGAATAAATATTTTGAAATGGGGATATTTAAACGTCAGTTGTGAGTGATAACCACTGTGCAACTCCGCCAGAGAGAGGCTGACAGGCTTAAAACGCTATTTGCCCATAATCTTTGTGCATTGATGATGTTTCTATTCATAAAAGGTCAGTTAAGTTACTGTTAACTTGCATGAATTTAATGTTCTAATATTTTAAATTGCCACAAGGTAATAAAATAAGCATGATCTAAAACTTTAATAATGGTAAGGTTCTTTCATGACAAACTTTCATAAAAAGATATTAAATATAACATTAATTTCAAGTTAAACACAATAATAGTATATTCTGACATAAGTTTGAAATATGACTTCAAACAATGACCATTTTTGCAGGTGAATTATGCGCCCTGTACGGAACACTGTTAATAGCCATCATCTTCCGTACACATCCAAAGGTGGTACTTTTCCCATCTTTTGTCAAAAACTACTGGTCCAAAAGACATCAACCAAAATTTGGATTGTGCAATAGGTATTCATCCAGAGAATGAACACACAAACATGCTTATCTGGCTTCCAATGACGGAGAAGTTGTCGTTTGAGTGCGCAGAAGAGCGGCAAGCGTATGGAACATAGTTAGTCAGCTTTATTCAGTTTATTTATAAGGATAGTGCCTAATTTAAAATGTTTATATTTTCTGCATCTTTGAGCAAAGACAGTTGAGGATGTTATCCACAAGATGGCGACAGAGACCCTATAACAAGCCCTAAAAGAAAACAATTTCAAACTACAGCTGATCAAATTATTATTAAACAGGTAAATGACTTTCTAAGTTGATCTCTCTCTTTTCTATGTTTTTAAGTAATATTGTGATCTCCCGATTACAACAGAGAAATACTGGGAAATCTCTGTAGACTGATGGCATTTCATGCCGTTCAGCCTTATAGTCTTAAAATGTCCGCTAAATCGCCTGTTTTGTCATTACATTCGATATTATGCTAGAGAATCAAACAATAGCTCTAAAGTGATGTTGGTGAAAGAGCAATGGTTTCTGCTGTTCTGACATCAGCTGCAGAGGTGAATGAATGTCAGAAGTGGTTCCTCATACAACAGTGTTTTAGACTCTGTTTGATTTACTTTTTAAACACAATTATGTTGTCCAACTGTAGTATAAACACATTATAACACTCGTAGCAGTGCGATATGGCTGTATATCTTCACTGGTGGGACACTAAGGCACGCCTCACAACAGTGCCGGCATATTCAGGCAAATCGCACTGCTACTCGTGTGATATTGCTTATTTAGCTTTTAATTAACAAAACAGCCTGAAGTAGTTTAATAATAATAATGATAATAATAGTAGTTTAATAATAATAATTGTTTTTAAATCGCCTTTAAAATAGCCATTTTTAAAAGTTTGCACATTTTCTCATTTGTGACTAATGTATGGAGCACCTTTCAGATCTCAAAAATACTTAGAAAAATGTATGTATTTTCAGGGTATGAGATTTTTAAAAAGAATATTAATGTTGCATTGATTATGCGTCATTAGAAATGTGCAAGTTTAATTATGTTAGAGCAGTCATAAGATCAAAATCAAAGGAATGCTCCTAAACTCCATTCACTCCACTGGGTTAGTACAGCTGATTCTCAGATTATGTTGATTGATATAAATATACAGATTTAAGAGACATGCAGGTTTGACACAACAGTCAGTAACTCAACAATAGTCCCACACAAATACAGCAGTGAGAAGCAGACTGCAGATGTTGTCAAAAGCTTGATTTATTTAACTGCAGCTCTGCGTGATACATGGAAGCCACATTTGGAGTGTTTAAGATACCATAACACACAACTGAAGCCATGACATTAAAGTGCCTTAAATGGTCAATGAACCTCAAAATAATAATAAAAAAATAAAATAAAAATCTCACCCTCATGTTGTCCCAAACCCATAAAATTTTTTGCTCATCTTTAGAACACAAATAAAGATTTTAATAAAATCTGTGTCATTTTTGTCTCTTTCAAAATTTCTTCACATAAAACTGAAGCGTCAGAGATGGAGCTCTGTCAGATTTGTATTAAACATCTCTTCATTTGTGTTCAGAGTTTAGAACACGAGGGTGCGGAGTGAACTGACCCTTTAAGATTACTACATGGATGAGGGCTGAATTTTGGTATTGTAAATCCCAAGACACAAAGTCAAGAAATGTATCCCAGTCAAGGAAATCTGACATTTAGTGTCATTAAAATAGTAAGCTTTTGGTAAATGTCACTTATTTAACAAATACATTTGGATTCAGGTAAATAAATCTAGAGTAAGTTACAACCATTAAAAAAATCTAAAATATTAATATAAAAATGCACAAAAATATACATATGGTGTAGAGAGCTTAGAAAACAGGGCATGTGCATGATACATAATCAAACAAGAAATACTGTAAAGATGTGGATCAAACAGAAAAGAACAGTTTTCCTTATAAGGAATGAAAATCTCTAGTAAAATGTCGTTTGTGTAAACTTTTGTTTGTGTTTTTGCAGAAACTAACCTGTCAAGAGCTCGTGTCACTTAGGGAAGAATTGAACACTGTTCTAACCCTATAACTGCTCCAAAAAAATAGAAGAAAACCCAATTTCCCTTTGCTTATCCAAGTGTGCTCTACTGTGAATTTCAACAAAAACAAACATAAATATAGATTTCTCAATTTAAGAACATCTTCAGAACTCTAATATCAAACCCTTATTCAAATACAACTCTGATTCCAATGATGAGTGAGCAAGAATTAAAAACATCCGCATCATTAGCAAAAGCAGATCTGCTTGCAAAATGTAAAAACAGATCAAGGGTTTTAAAAAACCTCAACTTAATGAGAATCAAATGCGTTTCCACCCAGCAGTGACATTAAGTGTGTGGTTCATTTAAAGATTCAGGAGACTGGCTTGCTTGACCACTTTTTTTGCCCAGAGGTGCGATGAAGAAATCTGAATACAGCAGGAATTCCAGCAGTCATGCAAAAGACATTCAAAAATACACAAACTAGCATAGCAAACAAACGATGATTAGTCGCGTTAAGTTAGCCGTGCTTGTATTACACACTAGATCAAGATAGAACATACCTGAATACCCCTGTGGGGCAAAGCATTCTGTCCTTTCATTGAAATGTCTCAACATTTATGGCTTTATTGATTTGACATCGGTCAAAATTCGAATGAAAAACCTGTGTAAATTCTTCCGTAAACGCTTTGTAACTGTGATGCCGCATTGCACTTCCAAATCAGACATATAGTCAGTGTAAAAGTGACCTTCACATGGGTCTGTAGCAGGAATCCGGCTGCCACATGCGCAGGTCCACCAGGATCTGGTTGAGCTTCTGCATCCACAGATTCCTCTCGTCTTTAGTGTCAGCACTCAGCCAGTTCCTGCAGATTACAGAGGAGATTGGAGTTGGGATTCGATCTCCTTCAACAGAAGCATGTGAATTCACATTGCTGACGGGCTCTTACTTGGTAACACAGAGTGTGTCTTTGCACCGGCTGACCAGGGTCTCTCGGTCATCCTCTCTCTGTGGCCTCACAGTGATGAGCTCAAATGTATTGGGTCGAGCACAGAACTCTCGGTTTGCCGGCTCCACTTTACGACTGGTACAGTTGGCAAGGTTAATGCGGCCCATTGGATTCTGGAGGAAGACCAACAACTATTTTTTTAATTTTAAAGCAGTAAACAACTTATTGTACACCAAAGCCAACACAGGTCTTTGTGTTCTTTATAGACTACAACAGGGTTTTTGCAGGTTTTATCAAGTCAAATTTAAGACTTTAAGACCCATTTAATGTAATGTATTTTTTATTTAGTGCCATGTCAGCAACCAAGGCTATCTTCATGGCAGGAATCTTTCAACAATAAATATACAATTTAAAAATCAACAAACAAAATAAAACATAAATGAAATAAGTGTTTTTGTGTTAATACATGATAAAAATTCTAAAATCTTTTCTGGTTTCACTTTGTCAAAAATGTCCTTAAGAGTTCATTTCATAAAAAGTCCTTCTGGAATCTTAAGACCCATTAATAAATTACCATAATAAATTAAATATTAGACTTGCACAAGGCTAAAACGCGAAAGATTTTTTTAATAGCAAAGTTTAAAACGTTAAACATTAAAAGCACATGTTAATGTTAAGAAGATAATGAATCCATATTATTAAGCACATAGAGTTAATAAACAGACGTCACTTAAAACTTTTATTGAAATATATTGATAGTGATCGGACGGGTGTTGGCCCAATTGGGTATATCTTTACATGGACGCAGGAAATTTAAGACCTGTTTAAAATCATTTAAGATCTACAACACAATATTTCAGTGAATTTAAGACTCTTTAAGGCCTAAAATGTGTTTTTAAAAACATTTTAAGTTTTAAGACATTTTAAGACTCCACGGGCACCCTGTACAGTGTTTGCATTCATTAGCTCTAGCAGCAGGAGAGAACTGGCCTGGGGTGGGGCGCTAAAGGTGAATTGAATAAGCTAAATTGGCCCTAGTGTATGTGTGTAAATAAATGTGTATGGGTGTTTCCCAGTACTGGGTTGCGGCTGGAAGGGCATCCATGCATAAAAAATATGCTGGAATAGTTGGTGGTTCATTCTGCTGTGGTGAGCTCTGAAATCTAGAGACTAACCTGAAGGAAAATGAATGAAAACTGGAAGTCTGTCTTTAATCTGGTGTTGATGTCATCGGTTGTAACCAGGATAACAACATCAGTAATCAATGAGATGTCAGCCTCAATTATTCACGAGACAGCTTTCTCTGCTTAATTATTCACAGCAGACGCTTTGGTTTCCCTTGACGCATCTCAAACTGTGAGATTTAATACAGTAAGTAAAAGACTGCTTAATGACAAAGGTGGTTCATTCACATCTTTAAGGTCTTGATATACTTCAACCAAATGTTTTCATCCTTTGTTTAAGGGCAAAAAGAAGTTTGAAAAGGTTGAGTCATGTACTGTTTTTAACATTCCTTCACTGTCATAGGTGGGGTTGTAAATGTGTCAGACTGTTTGTGTATACCCCCTTAACACAACAAAGATACCAGCTGAGAGAAAAGACAGCTTTGTAAACATCTTACTAATAGCCTTCTCTAGCCTGCCGCACAACAGACAAAAATGTCCCACATCTCAACATTGTTTTCTATTTGCCGCATTCAGACATCAAATGGCTCTTATGGTGTGGACACTAATAGAAAATATTTATTTATGCCGCCTGGGAAAGATGATCTTTTTTCCATTCCGGTGCAGTATCAAATTACATTAAAACAACTCTCTCTTATCAGTCCTTACTTCATATTCGCTTAATCGCATCCAGTAGCTTATGGTCCGTTTCCACTGAGTGGTACGGTACACTTTTATGGGTGTTTCCACTGTCAAAAGGTATACCGAACCACCAAACTAACTGATTTTTTTTTTTAGTTGAATAAAAGACGATTTCTTAAAAATAGTGTAAAAATCTCGTCTTGTGAACCCCTACGTTTGAGTCTTTAAAATGTGCTCTGGTACTCAAGCCTCCAGTTTATTCACGTTGCTAACTTGATGATTTAGTGTTGGGTGTTGTTTGCTTGTCTGACCTTCTTAGATAAACGATATGATTCACATCAAAAGGTGAAGTTTAAGAAGAACATGCCACAGATTGGGTAATCATAATGAACCAAAGGTTGGGGTGATGAGGATCCAAAACAAACTCCCCAAAACTTTGAATATGATTGGCCCAAACGTGGCTAGATTTGTCCAAAATTATGCCATTTCAATTCATTCCTGGACTTCTTTTAAAGTTTATCAGGGTATTTACAGCTCCTTGATGTGCTAATCAATTGGCTTTTACAATTTAAGGAAGATAAGGCTTTTAACGTTTCATGTGTACTTCTAATGTGGACTAAATATGCTCATGTCACAGCCATGTCACCCTGCAGCCCAAGACTGGTTGCTCACTGAAGCTAAGCAGGGCTGAGCCTGGTCAGTACCTGGATGGGAGACCACATAGGAAAACTAGGTTGCTGTTGGTAGTGGTGTCAGAGAGGCCAACAGGGGGCGCTCAACCTGTGGTCCTAATGCCCCAGTAAAAGTGAAGGGGATACTACACTGTCAGTGGGCGCTGTCTTTCGGATGAGACGTTAAACCGAAGTCTTGACTCTCTGTGGTCATTAATAATCCCTTGGCACTTCTCATAAAAGAGTAGGGGTGTAACCCTGTCCTGGCCAAAGTCCCTCAATCGCCCCTTAACCATCATGGCCTCCTAATCATCCCCATCCACGGAATTGGCTCTATCACCGTCTCTTCACTCCACCAATAGCTGGTGTGTGGTGAGCACACCGGCGCCAGTGTACTGTGGCTGCCGTCGCATCATCCAAGTGGATGCTGCACATTGGTGGTGGTGTGAAGAGACCCCCCTCATGATTGTGAAGCGCTTTAGGTGTGTGGACATACACAATAAATGCGCTATATAAATAAACATTATATTACATTGTTGTTTTTTTTTTTTTTTTTGATTAAATTATAGCGATGACTGGTTTAATGCACAAGTTTAATGTACTGAGAGATACATTTTGTTGCATGAAATGAAGAATTTTGGTGTTCATTTTTGTAAAGCATTTTTTGATGAGTGAAATAAAACCATATGAAGCTAAATATGCTGTTAAAGGATGCGCATACCTTAAAAAAAATAAAAACTCAATAAATAACAATACCTTCCGTTTTTCATCATCAGGGTAGGTCCAATAGGAGATGCAGTATCCTGAAAGGACGCACCACCTCCTGTGCCAGGCCCCAAAACCACTGACATCTTCAAACATAGTCTGTAAATAAAGACAAACCAACTAGCATCACACAAAGTCATCTTTGTATAAAAGAGGAAGTATATTTAGAGGAAACGGTAGTGTTTTATTCTGTAGACTATCAGAATAACGACTCACCAGGAAGCCTTTTTCCTCTATCCGTGAGCCAACCTCACACTGCATTTTTAGATATACATGCCCCTCCAAAGGACAAAGAAAAGGCACCTAAAGAAATAAAAGACAGTGAGAACTGGAGCATATAAGCACATCTAAAAGCAGCAACATTTACAGCAAGAGAAATAATTGCCTGGGGAGTAAAAGAGTACAGTAAACATACAAAGAAATGCATAGGAATTGTCATGCACACAACATTTGTGAAGCACCTTAAAGTTAGTAAAGCAGAAACACACACCACCTCTGGTTAACCAACCATACATTCAGACAAACAACCCGTGTTACTAAACACAGAGCAAATATAGCAACCTTATTGTGAAACATGTCACTGAGCAGCTCTCTTTCACTCCTTTCATATTTGATCTAAAAGAGAGAAATGACTACATGTGATAGAGTTTGGCAAATGCAAAACGCAGCACTGTGCAAGAAGAAAAAAAGAGAGTAGTGTTAAAACTAGAGTGAACATTAGTGCTGTGGTTCCCCCTCTTCAACATCAGCAAGGTTTACATGCAGTGTTTCGCCAGGTGGAGTGTTAGTAAGGTTTCACTTGTGGAAATGTTATGGTGGCATAAAGAGACAAACAGAGATGAAATTACCTTCTCCAAAGGGAACTTGTTTTTCCCAATAGAAGCCAGAGTTAACTTGTGTGATCCAACAAGTACAAAGCTACTGGTGCGCACTGCATTTGGACCACCAGGGCTGGCCATCACTGAAAACAGATACAATAATTATTTAATTTGAGAAAAACTAAATTGAAATGTTAAATTGAACTTGATTACTAATACTCACCAGGTGTTTGGAGGTTACTCTTCTGTAATAGATAAATGGAAAGGTCAAAATGTGTCAGGACTTTACATGTTAAATATTTAAAAAAATTATAGATTTTGTTGCATTGTTTATTGATGGGGTTTGTATTATAGACAGGAGGAAGGATTTGGTATCCTTAAACAGATTGGAATGTTTATTAACAGTCTACAGTTTAGCCAATTGTTATTTAATGTTTTTTAAAAAATTCTTCAGAACCTCATTCTCTGAAGACAAGGACATCGTTTCGTGTATAATCAGTGTAATTCTCTGGAATAATGATTGTAAGAGTGTGAGATTATTACTCATGGTGTTCATTTTATGTATGCCTATAGCAAAGGTCAGAAAGTGCTGCTTAGCAATCAAATGTTTGGGAACTAAATTTGCCCCAAAGCCATTTTCCTGGTTGAACTCAAAGTGGAGTTAATTTGTGTAGATGTAATGTATTTTTTATTTAATGTCATGTCAGCAACCAAGGCTATTTTCATGGCAAGAACATTTCAATAATAAAAACATAATAATAAGAAGAAAATCAATAAGGAGTTTTAGTTTTTAGTTTTAGTTTGTGTACAAAACGTTTTTCTAAAATGTTCTTTTGATTGTACTTTAATTAGAACTCTGAAAATGTTCCTTTAGTGCAAAAGCTAATTTATTAACTTCAGATTACAAACTTGAATGGTGATGTATGTGTTGAGATACAAGCGAACAGGCTACTTACAGAGATATTGAGGAACCTTTTTGGTGTGATTGCCTGAAGAAAGAAGTTTATTTCAGTGTAACATATAGAAAAATAATTATAACATCTTTTAAATCTCACAATCATGGCTAATAATGTACCGTTAAAAGAAAGTAAAAAGGGAAAATGAATAAAAATAACCTTCTAGGTGCACTTTGCTTAGACAAACAATTAAAAAACAGCTAAAAATCCAACCAATTGCCTGCACACTAGAAGGTGATGACTTTTTATGTCATAGAAATGCCTCAGGAAAATCTGGACATGCTGTTTGAGGCTCTTTATAGTGGCCGTTCATTAAATCTTGCCATTAAAGAGTTACACACAGCACTTCCATGAATATGGTGTCATGTAATACAGCACGTACAAGACTAAGATACTACCTTTGACTTGCTGGCCTTTTTCCTCTTGTCAGGGTTCAGCTCTCGTTTCTGAACCTAAGGGAAAAAAAACAAACACTTACTGAAATCTTTCAAACATACAATTGATATAAAAGAACATGCATTGAACATAAGTTAATAATAATAAAAGAAATATGAAGTACCTACCAAACAGTAGACTTCAATATCAATCTCAAAGTCATTAGACACATCAGACCTGCACATTGACAGAAGAATTAACATGAAAAAGGTGATGGAGATTTTGATGTAAAGAGTGGTTTGTAATTAAAATGAAACTTACAAAGTGAATGTGGTGGTGAAGGTCAAAGCATCACCACTCAGACCCGTGCGTGTGCTTGATAGAGGAGTTGCCACAGTGTTCTCAGGTCCCGCACGGATCATCACAAAGAAGTAATGGTTTCCACACTCTTGCATCAAAAAGAAAAGAATTGAGTGTCAGTTTACATGAAGATCACAAATAAAACAGAGTTAAACATAAACAAACTACAGTTCTTACCAGGCTTGTTGGCAGAAGAGCAGATAAAGTCGGCCTTCAGTGGAAGTCTCAGCTCCAGTAGTGAGATGGAGCCTTTAGAAGCAGGTAAACCAATATCCACCGGGACGCTGCTTGCGCTCTTCTTTTGTGCTGTTGGTCCTTCTGCTTTTAATCGGTCCAGCTCAGCCTTAAGAGCGGCCCTCCTCTCGGCTAAAAAGCAAAGAAATGATTATCCCATACTAACTGTAATACACATCTGTGCAGAGCAGAAAGGTAAGCATCACTCACTGGCAATAATCAGCAGTCTTTCAGCCTCAGCCTCCACCTGAGATCCTTTTCCATGTTCTTCATCTGTGCAGCAGTTAAGAGCCTGACTAGCCTGATGGATCACGGTCTGCTGCAGGTTCATCTCATTGGTCAACATCTGAGAACACAGATTGGCATCATCGATTCACTTTAATTCAAAGATTGGGGTTCATACACATTTTTACTGCTAAAATTCAATGACTTTTTCAAGGCTTCAAGTAAATTTTCATGACCTAATGCTTCATGTTATGTCTATGTATATGTGGTAAATGATAAGAAAAACAATGTACATTTAAATTATTTAGTTTATATTTATATCTATGCAACATTTATTTAGACAATGCTTACACAGCACTAATAATGTGAGAGCACACTATGTGCTAAACTTAATTCCATGACTTTTCCAGGCCTGGAAAATGCCATGTCAAAATATCATGACTTTCCCAGGTTTTCCATGACTGCATGAAAACTGAAACATGTTTTAAATGTGACAAGTCAATAATCCAAGTCAATTAAGACAAGGTATAAAATATCAATGATGTAAAATATCATACTTTCCATACATAGAATCAATCCTTTTTTTCATCTCCACTAAAGCTAGTTTATTCTGAGTTTCTGCCATTTTAATTAAGTCAAATTTAAGACCTTTCAAACCATAATGAGTTAAGTGAAGTTCATTTATAAACTAATTTCGAAAGAATTACAAGCTTATGATTATTCAATTTATGATTCACCAATCAGATGATTCCTGAGTCTACATAAATAACCTAATTTCATTACCATAGTCATCTTCGTTTTGAAGAATCCCCTCTTCCTTCCTTACTCCTTTCCTAAATGGGTGGCACGACAGCCCAGGGGTTAGCACCGTTGCCCCACAACAAGAACATCATTGGTTCTAGTCCTTACCTAGCCAGTCAACGTTTCTGTGTGGAGTTCACGTGTTTTCCATGTGCTCGTGCTAATCGGCACTATAGATGTTATGTACTCCATGTATTCACATAGCAATCCCTAATTGCACACTAGCTTCAAACAGCAGGGGAGTTCTCAAGATCTACCTGAGCTCAAACTCTCCTCTCGCCCGGCTAACATGGATCTTATCTCGAGATCTACCCGAGCTCTCTCCTGGAAGAGAATGCCAAACACTCTTTATAAATCAATCATCAGCTAAGTGTGAACTCTTGAAATGTTAGACTTTTTTGCTAATAAATAAAAAAATCAAAACGCAGTTATTCTTAGAGACATACATACAGATCCTTTTTTAAATGACAAGTTTAACATTATTATAAATATATTTATTGTGGAGGAAATATTTTTATATGAATGGCAGATAACGTAAATGGATCTATTGTTCTGTTATTATCATAAGGAACTGTGTAAATGTTTTCTTTTCCCTGGGAACTTGAAGAAACTGCTGTAAAAATGTCTAACTGCTGTTATAAATTGTACCTCTTCACATTAAAAAAAAAAGTTGCTTTAGATAAATACATTTCATAAATAGAAATTTAAATGTGTCAATTTGCAGCACGCATGCTTTAAAACAGACCTTCATTTTCTGCTTGATGTTGATGTGACTGGAGCTCCCATTCATCTCCATTCTCTGAGACACATCCTCTTTCCTGACAATCACCTGTTTAACATGAGGTCTCTCTGGCTCGCTCTTAACCCTGGTGGATCTGTAGGCATCAATGCTGAAATCAAACAGAACCACTGATTAAACTGCTGGTCAAACAAATCAATAACAGAGAACAAATAAGTTTGAATACCGCTTGAACATGGAGAAGCAGCAGATACGCACCTATAGAGAAGTTTCTGGTTTTGTTGCTCATCTAGAACATCAATGCTGTCAGATGAATCAGCTCGTAACATGCGTGTCCTCTGGAACTTACTGGGCCTGGATGGATTCTCAGGGGTGGAACTCTTCACCAAAAATGAGTTGGCAGGGGTTGATGTCTGAAGCAAAGATACACTGAGAAATGTCCTCTCAATTTTCGTTGAAATTATTATTTAGCAAACATGCTCAGGGCTTACCATAGGCTTTCTTTCTGGGCTCTTGATCACAGCTGCTACAGTCTCTGCAAGCGGGGCAAGCAGAGACATGGAGGAGATATTCAGAGGATCTTCATCTGCATCCTCATCACTTTCCTCCAGAACTCCATCAAACAGTTCATTTATCACCTCAGAGTTAACAGAGGCGTCCACGTTCATCTCAATCTCACGCACTACATCAACTTCTGCAATGAAGACAATGAGAACGTTCATGATCAAACATGAAATCGGCATAAGGGATTCATATTTTTCATACACTATTAGGTTTAAAAAGTTTAGTTTTCCCTGACTGATTCATAAATACGGAAATAAACACAAGAAACAACTCAATTCAGAAATAATAGTTAAAAAGGCCAAAATGGTGATCAAGAGCAAATAAAATTGTATGAATAAAACGCACAACATCAACTACAGTCTTTCTGTTTTATGGACATACCTTGGACATCCTCTGGCTCTTCCACTGTAGGCATCTCCACTTTTAGTTCAATTTCTTTTGCTGGACTTGAAGAAGCACAGCTCATGCCTATAAGAAAACACACACTGTTACTATAGTGCAGGGGGGGTCAAAGTCAATTTCTGTAGGGCCAGAGCCCTGCAGAGTTTAGTTCAAGCCCTGCTCTAACACCTATCTGTATCAAACAAGCCTAAAGCACTCAATTAGTTTGAACAGGTGTGTTTTATTAGGGTTGGAACTAAGCTGTGCAGAGCTGTGGCTCTCCAGGAACTGGCTTTGACATGTGCTATAGTGTAACTGTAAACAAAACAAGCTGGAACGTAGCAAAAGGCAGATGCATTTAAGAATAATTGAAGAAAAAAAGACAATGATATGGAATGATCTTTGAGAAGACCACTGCACTAAATTATATTACACATTTTTAATACATTATTATAGAGTTACATAATGAAATATGAAATACCTTTTCCAATAGATTTAGAGGGGCTGTTGAATACTTCAGGCACATGTACAGAAGGCTTATTATCATGCAGTGGTAAGGAAGTCTGGCTCTGTAGAGAAAGTTCAATTTCCTAAAAATAAGAAACAACATTAGAGTCTCTGACTTCCTGTTCCCTGGTTAAGTCCTGGGTTTATAAAATACATAAATCACAATGGTTTCTGAAAAATGAATCATTCAAATGACAGCTGCAGTATGCTGGCCAACATTGGCCTGTTCTTCAACTTCAGTTTTGTTTTATGAAGTGAGAGTTATATGGATCAGGGTTTCTGCAGGTTACACCATGTTATATTTAAGACTTTAAAGACATTATTAAAGAAATGTTAGACCTATACAGGGCTAATGCTAAAGATTTTTTTCAAATACCCCAGTTGGAAAATTTTTCATTTTCCCTATCAAAATAAATTATTGAATACATTTAATAATACAACAACAATAATAATAATTATTATTAAAAATATAAGCCAGGTCAGTGTGCTCAGGAGTAAATACATACAAACTTTTAAACAAATGTTACTGTAAGGAAAGTAATTAAACCATTATGATAAATGGAGTTAAAATGCAATTTCTAAACAAAAAGTTAAATGTTTATTGAGATGCATTGTTTGTGATTGTATGGGTGTTGGCCAAATTGGGTAACTTTTAACAGGTCTTAATTTTCTTTTAGATGTACAACACAATATTTCAGTAGATTTAAGACATTTTAGGCCCTAAAATTTAGTTTCTGAGATTTAAGACTTTAAGACCCTGCGGACACCCTGATGGATATTTCCACTGCAAAAACAGGGACAAATCAGTGATAAAGAGACAAATTAATAAACTATTTTTAAAAAAATTATAAGGGTATTCCCTTGGTGAGAAAATGACTAATTTTACTTACATTTCTTTTATAGTAGGTTATAAAATAAGAAACCAAGGTGTACTTTAATAATATTCATGAAATGGTAGACAATGGTAGCATTCAAATGGTTCACTTTTTAAACCACAATTCTGAATAAGCATTCGGTGGACAATATAATTTCACCACAAGGCTATGGTTTCTTATCCTATAAGTTACAAAAATGGTCAAATTCAAATGTTTCTGATATAATCCAATATTTGTGGACAAAATTAGACAGAAAATACATACACATTTTAAACTTGCAACAAATGTTATCAGTAAATGTTAACAGTTTAATGTTAAATTATTTTAATCAAATACATAAATATGAACCATGAGAAACTATGTGTTAAGAGATGATCACTAAAGTTTCTTCCATAGCCCATTAACTTAATGCAAGCAAATGCCAAAACGTTTGTTTGAAATGCTATACAACAGTTTGGACTCCTCTATGTAATCCATCCTATCTTCAATAAGTCACAGCAAACATGATAGCAAACCTTATTTTCAGTGTCATCCTTGACCTCACTGATGTCCTCTTTGCCTCTCAACATGTTGCCTTTCTGAAACCTATTACGGATTTGTGCCAGTTCTGCTTCTCGCTCCTGTTAATAAAAAGTTAAATAAATAAACTATCCCATTTTGTACGCAATTTTTACATTTAAAATAAGTATAAAAACATGCCATTTTCTGCTTCTCAGTGAGGGCGGCTGTGGTGGAAGTGGCCTGAGCCCCTCCAAGCCTCTCCTGGAGCAGTTTAAATTTGGGGGTAGCAGGAGTAGAAGCTGCAGATGTGTGGCCTGGACCTCCTAACATGGAGGGAGTGTTCTGGTTACGCTCCTGACACCTTTCTCCAAAACGTTCCAAAAATGACTTGACCCCTCCTAAAAGTAAAAAAAAAGCAAATACAAGTTACTCATCAAACACTTTAGGGTGTAAATAAAGAGTAGATGACAAGCTCCACTAACCAGGCGTTGCAGCTGGGCCTCTGTGCTGTGTGGGTGTTGCGTCTTTAGTAAACCTCACTCGACTCACAGCATCATCAGCGGCAGATGGTTTAGGTGCCAAAACTGGTTTCGCAGGACTTGAATTAAGTGCTGCTCCAAAATTCAACTTGTCAACTTGGCCATGGCTCTTCAGTGGGCTCTGAGAGACGTAACCTCTGTGGGGACTAGAGGGAGATGCCGTCACAGATTTGAGTGGACTGGAGGGCTGGGTGGAAGGGGGAATCTTCAGTGGGCTGGAAACAGGAGAAGGCACTGCTTGAGCCCATCTGGCCTGAGGAAACTCTGTCTTTTGAGGACTAGGAGGAACCACACTGGTTGATTTGACTGGAGAATACACTGCAGGCTTAAAAAAAAAAAAAGTTTAAGACATTTATAACAAATAAATGAATAAAAATTTACTTTAATACACAGCCTTAACAAGATCATCATCAAAAGAGACCCACAATACAAGCTTGTATAATACAGAATGTGTAGATGCAGTGACCCACCTGCTGGCCTCTATTAACAGGCCTGTGTGAAGTTGGCCGGGCAGACTGAAGTTGCTCACTGTTACTTGTTACTGTACTGACTGGTGGGCGCACATAGGCCGTGCCAGGCTGTGCTTGTGCATTGTCCCGGCGAATGGGCGGGTGTCCAAGGTCATCTTCCCAAGAGCCGATTGTGGCAGCAAGATTTGCAAGTCTACCCTTTCTTCCAACAGGAACCTCAGAATTTGTTGGAGTAGCAGGAGGGTGATCCAAGTTATGGGACTTCAAAGGAGATACAACTACACTCTCTGAGACAGCTTCTGTGGCCCCTGAAAACAGTTGTATAGATCTTTAAACATTTATGGGTCATACTGTTACCTCCAAAAAGGATTGTTTTTGTGTAAAGGACCCAATGCAATAATGTATAAGGCACCTTTATAGTGTGTGTTAAAGCCCAAATAATAGCGGTTATTTTTTTTATTAAAACTGTCTCTAAATTTATTTGAAAAAAACTTAGTAACTAAATAAACTAAACTACTGAATTTTTTCAAATATATTAACTTTAAAATATTGTGCATTTATCCATTTTATCCTACAGTATGCAATCATGCTTGGTTGTATTCATTGTGAAAACAGCTAAAGAAAAATGTCAAAAATCTGCCATGCTAATATTTATCAGCCAAATATTATATAAATGCCGGTTAAAACAATTATGCATTTAACCCAAAAACATTGGGTTATCCATTTCCCCTAATTAAGAAATCTATAACCAATTTCTATGCATTTGGGTGTTCAGAAAGTTTCCTACCATTAGAGTCCCAGTTCTGCCTCTGACCAGCCAGTCTCTGCAGACGAGATCTCATGCTGGAAGGAAATGTGGTTGGTGCTTCTTTCTGCGTCTCTCTAGCTCCATCTAGACCTTTTTGTCTCAATACATTATCAGTGCGTTTTGCTGGAGACTGTGGAGGACACACCACCATCTTTTCAGTCTCAGGAGGAGGCCGAGTGGGCAGCATATCTGGAGCAGACCTTTGTTCCACAGGTATCGGCCTAACAGTGGTTGGTGCCAGGGGTGGTTTCTGGTCAGTCATGGGGTCTGTCATTTGTGGGGCCACCGGCTGCTTGTTTTCTTCTCCAGCAAGAAAAGTATTTTCGTCTGAACAGCGGCGTTTGAAGGGGGATGGCTTGGAGGAGGGAAGCGCTGCAAAAAATAAAATAAAAATGAGTTAATAAAATGTGTTGCTACATCAGTTTTTCTGGCTATTTTATGGCAAAATAGAGTAAATGTACAAACATTTTATAAACAAAAAGATTTAAACCAAGAAAAAAAAAGACAACAAAAATAAATAATACATCAAATAAGATGAAACCGAAAACAGTTCTTTACGATTTACATTAAATAAACACTCTATAATTGTTGAAGGATTTGCATTCAAAAATAACTACTTTAAATTTTCTCTAGATAAAAACTGTTGTCTAACAACATGGATACTAACAACACAAAATATGCCATTGCATAAGAAAATGTTGACAGGTTTGTAATGCAATATGGACGTTCTGGAGCAACTTCTCCTTGGAGCAGATGTCCGCGAGTGAGTCTAGTGTGTCCAATATCTGATCTTGTATAAATAATCTCATGTCCTAAAAGTCAGTTAAAATGAGAGTTTAAAAAGCAGGAAATCAATAAGTTTATTATTTGAGCAATTAAAATAAAAAATAAGTAAGTATTGTCAAGCTACAAGTAATTGAAGACCTGGAATTAATCTGCTGAGAACACAGGTGCACTAATATGATTTCACAGCAATTTTAAAGATAGTTCATCCAAACATTTTAAATTCTCACCATTTACTCGCACTTAAATCAAATGGTTCATTCATAACTTGAATTGAATGTCTATCCAAATAGAAATAAACTAAAACAGGTTTGGAACAAGTGGAAGATGTGTAAATAATAGCAGAATTAAAATTGTAGGGTGAACTATGATCTATGGGCTGATTTGAATATCTATCCATCCACTGATTTGCCTTGTAAGATATTAATTTATTCTCAGAAGTCTTGGGCATTAATTTTGTTTTGTCTGCATTACTTTTTGACTTTCAAAGTAAGGAACATCAGCGTATCTCTAGTCAATAAAGGAAACAAAAAAAATAAATTAATAAAAAAATACCTTTTTCAATAGTCGGCTCACTTAAGACACTGTTTGTATCTGTAAGTGGCTCTCTTGTTCTTTTAGCCATTGGACGGTTGGCTGCCGTTGGTCTCTCCGCCATCTTCTTCTGCAGATTTTCTCTACGCGCACGTGTGCGCTCCAACAGTTTCTGCAAACAGTCACACAGCATGAGTAAAAAGTCAAAATGGATTGCCTTTTTTTTTACATTTCTGTGGCCTATAACAGGGGTTCCCAAACCTTTCAGGCTACGACCCCTAAAATAACAATGCCAGTGACTTGCAACCCCCAAATTCCTCAGAGTTAGTTATGAATATACAAACGGTGCGCACAAATCAATAGGCCTATATATACACAAGCAACTTGACAATACAGTCCAATGACCATATCATCTTTTTAGTCATTTATTAATTTGTTTAATTTAATATTAACTTCACCTTAAGAGACCGATGGGCACGATGTTTTCAGCACAAGTCTATTCTTGGCTTAATTTTGGAGACCCTCACTCAGGGATCATTCTCAATGTTTGTGGCCTGTATTTATTTTAATGTATTTGAAAGTTTAACCTGGTGCTAAAACAATCTGCTGCAGCTGACGCTATTGCTGTGTTGATAATCTAATGTAAATGTCCTATGAAAAAAATTATATAAAGGCTGATGGCTTTTTATTTGAATGTTTTTTTTTACTATTAAAAAAAGACTTATATTCTGTGGGTCATGGTTAAAATACGGTTATTCTAATAGTTTAATCAAATTTATTTGACTTTTGGAAATCGCCAAGCGACCCTATCATTGTTCCGCAACCCCACTTTGGAAACCACTGGCCTATAAGACTGCTTTTTTATTATAAATAGTGAAGTGAATCTACTAAAACATTAAATGCAAATCCTATGCACAACTATCTTAATGCCAAAGTTCTGCATGAGCTGCAAAAAAAGAAAACACTCAAGTTTCAGTTCTTTTTCTTCATGCAAAGGCCCCATTTATCTGCTCTGCTCATCATCTGAGTGTGAACAGACCCCCAGCTCATACTAGCAGAATGTGTCACACTCATGATGAACAGCCTGAGCAAGACCAAACACATTCCTCGAATGTGGCTGTGGGTTTGGCTGTCTCCCAGAGAATGACTGGAAAATTCAGTTACTAAGGATTTCATGTCCATGGAATCTTATCATGTGAGCCCAGCAGATGAATCCTATTGGCTAGACTCAAACCAGGCTTCCTGTATTCAACCAGCCACCAGTTATGGCCACAGCCCTGACAGCTTTTCCTTTGTCCCTTAATCAAATATGCGCTGTATTTAAAAGCAGAACAATTGCAAATGCAGTTATTATACCGAATGAATGCATTATTCGTATTCTAAGAAGGCTTTAGAATGGTTTACAATAAAACGTTCAGAAAACAGTGGGCATTTCTGACATGTATAGTCTGTTAACAAGCTGCGAGGTCACAAATAACATACCAACACGAAATGGACAAAACAAAAAGTTAATTTTACACAAATGTTACACAAAACAAAATGGTTGACTGAAAGGTGTGTAGGGCTAACGTAAGCTACAAAAACAAAGACATTTTTCGGCAACAGATTGTTTACTTTGTTTTGCAATTGTTAGCAAATAACGTCAGAGCAGCGTTAGCTTTAAATAACATAACATTATCGACTAATGACTAGCCAAACAATATACCAATATATAACGACAGAATATTGGCATAATAAAACGGCAAATAATGTTAGCAATGCCCTGTTAAGTACACACAAGTCAGGTCACTGTGCTAGTTTATATCAACACACTCGCTAACAATCTAACGATGAAATTATCTTTCACAAAAAGCTCTCACCTCGGTGAATGGATCCATCCTAGTGTACGCTACAAGCTGAAAGTAAAGTATAATCCTCTGATTTCTTCTTTATTTATCTGTCGAGGGAGTAAAATCCTCTCCGCTCTTTCTCGCTCTAACACACACATACACACACTCGCCACGCGCTCCGTCTTCAGCTGTTTGAAAATTTTGAATTTAGCGCTTGCTCACTTCGCTGCAGCCAACGGTCGCGGACACGTCACTGAACATGAACTAAACCAATCAGAGAGCAGTCAGTTAGAGCAGCCGCGCCCACCATAGGAAAACACCCATTTAAAGTCAGGGGAGCTGCTCAGTGCTCACGTTTGTTATTCTGAATAAACAAAGGTCTGAAGTACTGTTTCAGTTGATCTTTGGACAAAAAAAAAATCAACATTTTACTGAGTTGGGTACTACATTTACCCCCATATAGCTCTATATATAGCTATTAGCTAGCATTTATTTAAAGTACCAAAAGTTAAATTTGATAGCTAGTTTAGTTAACTATATAAGCAAAGTCCTTTTAAGTTGTATACTATATAGTCTTTGACATAAGTACGTTATGCTGATGCCAGACTAAAAGAGGTTAAACATTATTGTGCTGCTTGTTTGTTTGCAACTTGTCTACATTTTTGTTTCAGTCTAGATTAACCCTTTATGTGCTGCTGGGGATGTTTTTATCCTTTCTGGTGATTAGGAGTTTTTATTTGGCCATAAGTTTTTGTGTTTCCACTAACCTAATGGTTTTTGGTGACAAATCTTATTTTGATCTTGATAAAAAAACAAAAAAACTTAACACACTTTGGGCAAATTTGCTACCATTTTGTTGTGTTCCAGATGAAAACATCCACTAAATTAAACTGCTGTAAAATGCATCAGATGCATGAATTCAGCTTTATTTGTATAGCGCTTTTACAGATTGTGTCAAAGCAGCTTCACACGGAAGATTATAGTGAATTGAAACAGTTCAGTTTTAGAGTTTAAGTTCAGTGCAGTTTAAATAACAGCTAATCTTTTTGCATAAATCTGTTAATCAACCTCAGTCCTAATCAAAATTACAAAATTTCATAGAAAATCACAGGATTTTAACTCTTTAATTGGCAAATTCATAAATGACGTCACCGTTTTTGGGGGAAAAAAAACACAAAATGATGTATTTTTGATATAAAAAGTAATTTTTGACTGGATTTTTAAAAAAACATTTTATCACAGTTTTGGACATGTGAAACATCATTATCTTTGATGCATAGTTTTTGATTAAATTTAATTTATTTCTCCATAATTTACTGTTGGTGGCTGTTTTTGTCCCATTGACTTCCATTATAACCACATTTTACCACAAAACCATGATACCATTATGGTAGCATGTGTAATTTCTACTGTCGATCATCAGTTGGCACCATTAAACCTTCAGGGCTGTTCAATAAAAGCTTAGTTTCTGGATTATAAACGGAGTAGGCTATAATAGCAAATTAAAGTGTGTGTATGTGTGGCTGTGAGAGATGACCTTTACACACTTACCTTGACGTGTCTGAGAAAATCTAAATATGCATCTCAGCTCTCAGAACTACATGGAGTAAACAAAAACAAAGACTGTGTATTTATGCACCATCAAATGTGGTTATAATGGAAGTCAATGGGGCAAAACAGCCACCAACAGTAAATTGGGCAGAAAAAAATGAAAATCTAACAAAACATTAAAGCCAATGTTGTTACTAATTGTTCACATGTATAAGACTGTGACAAAAGGTAAAAAAAAAACAACAACAAAAAAACAATCCAGTCCACATTTCATTTTTTTTATTTATGAATTTGGCATTTAGAGAGCTAAAATCTTGTACCTTTCAAAACAGTTTAGTAGTTTTGATCAGGACTGATGTTGATTAACAGATTTATGCAAAATAATTTGAAGAAATATTTATCTGATGCATTTCCAGCAGTTTAATTCAGTGGATGTTTCCATCCTGAACATAACAAAAGGGTACATTTGAACAGTGGACAGGGGTTAAGTAATCTTTGTTACCAGTTTGGTCTGGTACAGTTACAGTCTTATCACAGAAATAATGTTCAGTATAGAATATAAAGTCATGGTGCAGTCAGAAAAGAATGAATATTGTGTATGACTCCCATGAGCTTGGATGACTGCATTCATACATCTCTGCAATGACTCGAATAACTTTCTAATAAAGTCATCTGGAATGACAAAGAAAGCGTTTCTGCAGGACTCCCAGAGTTCATCAAGATTCTTTAGATTCAGCTTCAATGCCTCCTCCATCTTACCCCAGACATGCTCAATAATGTTCATGTCTGGTGACTGGGCTGGCCAATCCTGGAGCACCTTGACCGTCTTTGCTTTCAGGAACTTTAATGTGGAGGCTGAAGTATGAGGAGCGCTATCCAGCTGAATAATTTGCCCTCTCCTATGGTTTGTAATGTAATGGGCAGCTCAAATGTCTTGACACCTCAGGCTCTGCGGATGCCCCACACTGAATGTAACCCTAAATCATGATTTTTCCTTCACCAAACTTGACTGACTGACTGTCCTGCTGAAGAATTTGCCCTCTTTTGTGGTTTGTAATGGAATGGGCAGCATAAATGTCTTGATATCTCAGGCTGTTGATGTTACCATCCACTCTGCAGATCTCTCTGTTGACTTCTGGGGTCCCTGCGTGTTCCGATAGGTCTTCTGCAGTATTTGTGATGATTTGGATGCAGTTCAACAGATGATTAATCTGAAAAACCTACCTTCTGCTACTTTTCCAAATGATCGACTAGAAGTCAAGTTCTTATTTGTTGCTCTTACAACTGCAATGGCGACAAGATTTAGAGAGTATATTGTACTGTATATATTGTATTAGCTAGCATCTATTTTATTTCAAGCAACAAAAGCTAAATTTCACTTTAGTTAACTATTAGTATAGCTGACGTCAGGCTAAAAGTAAAAAGTATAGCCTGATAAAACATTTTTTCCTTATTTGTAACAATTTCTTTTCAGACTTCATGCAGTTTATGTTGTCTATACCATAATCAGCTATATCAGTGGTTCTCAAACTGTGGTACGTGTACCACTAGTGGTACGCAGGCTTCCTTCTAGTGGTACGTGTATGAATCAAATATGTAATATGTACAATGCTACATATATTTAAAGAAATTATCAAAAATGATTTATATATGAATATGATGACATAAAGCCTATATTTATGAGGTCCAGGCAACATTTCCAGGTGCTAATAAACCAGGAGTTATTTCTTTTTTGAACTGTACAGAGCTTAAGCTGCTTTACTAGACCTAATACGCTACTGTATTTCAAAACTGCTCATTATGGTGGTACTTGCAAAGACAATTTTTTTCAGAGGTGGTACTTGATGAAAAACATTTGAGAACCACTGAGCTACATTATACAAGGCAATAAAATAATGTGTTTTTGCAAAAAACATTTATTTTCCTTTAGCTTAACCTCTTTATTCATAAGGGTCACCACAGAGGAATACATCGCCAACCAATTCAGCATATGTTTTACACAGCGGATGCCCTTCCAGCTGCAACCCAGTAGGCCTACTGGCAAAGCGCATAAAACAAATGATTTATATTATGCTTTTATATTCATCATTGTTTTGTAGGTACTAATATATGCTTTTGAGGTGACAATATGGATCCTTTAAGTACAAATGTGTACCTTTTGAAAAGGTACCACTCCAGTGACAGCTAGCGTACCTTTATTTCTGAGAGTGTAGATGCTGCAGGGGCGGACTGGCCATCTGGCAATTCTGGCAAATGCCAGAAGGGCCGGACCATTTTTTAAATGTGGGCCGGTCACCTATTTTATTTATTTATTTTTTCATATGTATTGTTTTTTAAATGTAGGCAGCTTTTATCTTGTGCGAAATGTGAATATTATGATGATGATGGTGATAATAGTAAGAATAATAAATGTTAAGCATTGGCCCAATTGGCAACAACCGGCTGGTTTCGAGATGGGCCGACCCAATCTGAGGCTACTCAGATGTAATCAAAATCTGGCAAGAATGTCAAACAAACAGTAAGTGCAAAAAAAAAAGGGGAAATGCAGTCAAGTCATACATTGCCAAATACATACAATTTACTGAACTAGTCTCGAAAGGGGTCAGTGTGATGGCGCAGTAGGCAGTGCTGTCGCCTCAGAGCAAGAAAGTTGCTGGTTTGAGCCTCATCTGGGTCAGTTGGTGTTTCTGTGTGGAGTTTGCATGTTCACATGGATTTTCTTCTTGGTTTCCTTCTGAATTGGGTAGGCCAATTGTGAATTGGGTAACCCAGTATAATGGGTTGCAGCTTTGAGGGCATCCGCTGTTTAAAACATATGTTGGATAAGTTGCTGATTCCCAGATTAATAAAGGGACTAAGCCAAAAAGAAAATGAATGACATGATTACATATAATTGGGTTGCTTTTGTTCCAGTCACATACATTAAATGTTTAAATATCTCTTAAATAAGGTACTGCTTATATAATTTTACCATCTGTACACCATTATAAGTAGTGAATGTGCGTGTCCTTGGGTGTGGCTGTGTCGGTGTGGTAATGTGGGCCGGTGTGGCTACAGTGCCAGGGCTGATTTTTAGTCCCAGTCCGCCACTGAGATGCTGAAAAACTAAATGGGGTTATCACTAGAATGAGGAAATCCCAGAGTAAAATATGATAAACCTGGTGTTTTGAAATATGGTAAAACTGTCTTTAAACCGTTTTCATCTGTTTTTATATTATTTGTTTCTATTTTATTTATACTTGTGTCTTTTATTGGCGTTTATGTAAAGAACTTTCAATTGCCACTGTGTATGAAATGTGCTACAGAAATAAACATGCCTTGCCTTAATGTAAACATACCAGGAGTCGCAATCCAAAAGAAAAAAATAATTGAAAGGCTGATGGCTTTTTATGTACATGTTGTTGTTGTTTTTTTAATCTAACTAGTAAATACTTTCTGCAGTGAATATTAAACCACACTTAACTAAACTGAACTGAACTTCAACTCTGGAAACTGGACTGACACAGTTTCAATTTACTAGACCTTCTATGTTAAGCTGCTTTGACACAATCTAAATTGAAAGTGCTATGGAAATAAAGATGAATATTTTTATTCTATCTTTTGTAGGTTATGGATAAAATAAGATAATTCTGTTTGTTTTTTTATTAAATTACCAAATGACCCCCCAAATTGTCCCGCGACCCCCACTTTGAGAACCAGTGTTACTCGAAAATCCTACAATTCAAAATCCTTCAGGGAGACGACTATCCAGCAGATGGCACTGCCAACAAACAAAGAGCAGTCTTGTACAATCTGGAAAATCTTCTTTACTACAAGTCAACAGTTTCAAATCTAATTAGATTATGCATTATTATGAGTCAACCTAATGAAACGATAACATTGTGTCATACATCCGACTCTTCATGTTTCAGACTCCCGTGGATTATGCCAGCAGGTGCAGAGATGGAAATAAATGGGTCATTTCCCAACTTCCTGTGGATTTCCATCATGTGACTGAATTAAATATTTCACGAGTTTCGTCATCTGCACTTCCACTCCTGCTGATAGAAACGCCACATCAGATGAGCTGTACATGAGTCATTGACCGGTCAGGACCTTTCTGGACAGAGGAAAAGAAAGCCTCGTGGATGCAAGTGAGTCATGATGCCTTTAAATGAACACAGGAAAACCGTAATCTTCTTGATCGTTCTCTGTAACTGCCATTTTACAATGCCTACCAATGGCTGTAAATACTTTCTAACCAGCCATCTGTCACTGTCGCTACCCGGTAAACCCAGGGACGGAGTTAGTGATTTGGGGTCCCAAGTTATTCCAGCCATAAGGCCCAAAAGTTCTAAAATACACCTTTTCTACTTTAATTTATTTTTGTATTGATTTATTTTGCTGTTTTTTCTCTAATATCACTCAAATCACTTCTTTTCTACAATTTGTCTTAATGGAAAATAACAAGATGTAAAACATCTTGTAAAACTTTTTGAATGATTTGTTTTCTTAAATTCATTAATTAAAAACTAAAAAGTATAAATAAAATATTTCGTTTTTTTAAAACTAAATCTTAATTTGACTGCTGGATTTCTTTATGATTGAGAGTGGGGATACCTTTATAAACATTAAACTTTTAATTTTTTTGACACATCACACAAAATATGATGGAAAATGATGTTATGTATAATTAAGTATATAATAAATAATAAGTATTTATTTGGGAGCACTCAGATTTCCTGCATGGGGCCCTTAGAGGTTGCCTATCTTGCTCATTGGTTAAATTTGTCCCTGTAAAAAAAAAACCCTTACTAACAAAGTCCAGAATTTGGCTGCTATATGAGCTCATTTGTCCCATTTTGGACAGTATGGCTTAATAAATTGTGAAAATAACAAATAAAAGGCTTTAAGACCAATTGACTGAGGAAAAGAGCTGGTCAGGTTGTTATTTGCCTGTATTACTGTTTTTCATTTAAAATAAGTTTTAAACAGATTCCTAATAGTTTTTTTTATAAATGATGGATAATAATAATTTGTATTTTTAAAACGAGGATTTTTTTCCATGTTTCTTTATTTAAAATTTGTCATTTAAAGGGCACCTATATTACTCCTTTTACAAGATGTAAGATAAGCCTTTGGTGTCTCCAGAATGTGTCTGTGAAGTTTCAGCTCAAAATACTAATCAGATCATTTATTATAGCCTCTAGAATCTGCCTATTTTGCTGTCTTGAGTTTCTGTCACTCCAATATGACTGTGGACACAATACCTTCACACAGATCTGTCCAAACAGCTTACAAATGTTGATATTCATTATACGTGCCCTTCAAAAGTCTTATGTCATTACATTACATAAACTGTAATAACAGTTGTAATGCACATTTGTAAATAAACACTTTGTGGTAGAATAGTAAGCCCTTTGACAAAAATGTAGGAAATATTTTTGTTGCTTCAAAAAGTGTGGTTATGATCACCATCCGACATGCTAATCCAGCAAAAATTTGTGCTTTAAAAATGTCACAAATGCAGTATTCAAACCACATAATTTAATAGAAAATTATGAGAATAACTGCAAAAAATCTCTTACACCAAGCTGGCTATGGGCCTGATACTGTGAAGTATTTCATAATTTGTAATTAATATAATAACTAAATTAAATTACAAAGTTAAAATTACAAGTTTTCTTTTCTCGTTTTTTTTTTTTTCACTGAAATTTTTTTTTTTAAATAACAGACTTACAAACCATTCGTATTGTCAGTTTGGTAAAATGTTTAGTTATAATACATTGTTATTTCTTTACTCCTATAAGAAAATGTATACATCAAAGAAATATTAGCGAAGTAAAATATCTCATTAAAATCGGGTATTATTGAGCATACAATTAGTTTTTTCATTACTCCATACAGCAACAGTAAAATTAATATAAAAATAAAAAATGTTTGTAATAGGGCAGCACAGTGGCTCAGCAGTTATACTGTCACCTCACAGCATAAAGGTCAGGTCACTAGTTTAAGCCCCAGCTGAGTCAGTTGGCATTTCTGTATGGAGTTAGCATGTTCTCCCCATGTACATTTGTGCGTTTCCTCCAGTTTCCCCCATAGTCCAAAGACATGCACTCTAGGTAAACTGAATAGGCCAAACTGCCAGTAGTGTATGTTTGTGAATGTGAGTGTATGGGTGTTTCCCAGTACTTGTTTGCAGCTGGAAGGCCATCAGCTGCATAAAACATGTGCTGGATAAGCTGGCAGTTTATTCCACTGTGGTGACACCTGAGAAGGGAGAAAGCTGAAGGAAAACGAATTAATGGATCATTGCCAATTCTTTTCATTTAATAAATAGAACTTTTTTACTAATTAAACTAGTTGATATTTAAGAAACTACTTGATATTATGATGCAGGGCTGAGCCTCGCCTGTACCTGGATGGGAGGCCACATAGGAAAACTAGAAGTTAGTAAGGCTAGCAGAGGGCGCTCAACCTGTGGTCTGTGTGAGTCCTAACGCCCCAGTAAAAAAGAAAGGGACACTATACTGTCAGTAAGCGCTAACTTTCAAACCGACTGACCCACTGTGGTCATTAAAAGTTCCAAAGTCCCTGGACAGATCCATCTTTTTGTCCCATGTTCAATTTTCATTTTCTGATAGATTGATTTCCTTTTCTGTCGCAGGAGCTATTTTCTCAAATGACTTCTCACAGAATCTCCCTCTGTAATTTGAGATGTTATCTCGAAGGTGGCCGTAAAATCAGTCATCCCATAATGACTCATCCACCGAGAACTCTAAATAGCTTACACATTACAGGAAGGAACACACAATGGATCAATTTCAATTCATTTATTTGTCTTAAAACCAAGATGAAGTGGGGATGCTTTCAAAATGGGCACAATGATGATAAAGAAAAGGTGGATTAAAATAAAAATAAAGCCAGCGCTGGCCGGTTTTCCTGCTTCTTACTTCCTTCAGTGTGTCTGTGGGCTCAACAGATAAAAGCTTCTTACTGACCAGCCAGCAAAGAGCAGCAATTGAAAGCGAGTACCGAAGAAGACAAGCCGAGAATCCTCCTGTGTTTGAATCTGGATGTAGGACGGTCCTAAGGGTGAAGGCTTTTCTAATCTGGACTGAATATTGCACTCCCCAGAGATTAAGAAAAGGACTGAAAAATACATGGCTCCACGAAAGAAAAGAACGAACCCCACCCGAACTCCTGACAAGACGCGCTAATTATAGTGAATAAATACAGCTGGCATATTTCAAACCCAGGCTAACCCTAAATTAAAAAAAGTGATTGCTGCATCAAAGGGGAACTTCTCAAAAATGTTGTATTGTGCAAAAATATCGTATGTCTACTTTATAGTTTGTTTATGTAACAAAATTGGCTATTGTTTGTTGAAATAATAATAATAATAAAAAAAAAAACGATAAAAGAAAACATGCCCAACAATGTCTTCAGAATAAAAAAAGCAGTAATAAATCAACAAATGACAGCATTTAACAATTGTAAATCTTTTGATCACGATTCAAAGTACTCATTCTGAAATAACCCGAAATAAAGTCGTCCCATGATTGGAAATTTGGGAAATCAGGGGAACGTTAGTATATTCTAGCCCGTGACTGGTAACACTGGTTAAGCGACCAGGTTTGTGGGCTCGTCTGTGTGCTTTGACCCTTCTCTTTGATACTGCTGGTGAATCCATAGATCAGCTTCATTATTCTGTGATCGATTAGCCATGATTCGTTTGATATTAATCACCACAATTACAACCCACAGCTTTTGCTCCCCTATATACCCTGGTTGAACATCCCACTGCTGTTTTGTATGACTGACAGAATGACGCACTACTGGATACAGCAGTTGTGACCGTTGGCCTCCTTGAACCTCAGACGCATCTTGGGTCGGTATTTTTCAAGGTACATGAGCTGTTTGGCGTTGAAGGCTCCACGTCGCTTCCTGAAAAAACAAGAGACAGAAATAGTGTTCACATCAGTACAGTTTTAAGTTGGAGTACACAATTTTTTGCCCTGGTTTTTAGTCTGGACGGGTCACACTTAATTTGCTAAGAGCACGTGGCTGTTTAAACCAGGTATTAATGTGGTCAGCCAAGATGCGTTACCGTTTTAATCTGATGTTCAGAAAGCAAGCATCAGTTTTGCATTTTCAACTACCTCTCAAGGTGGTAAAAGTTGGACAACCTCAAAATATTTTAGACCCCATTTAAACATGCATGTATGAGTTTTCAATTTAACCCTTTTAGCATACGATCACACCTGTGTGATCAGCTTTGGCTGGTCCCTAAAGTGTCCGATCACAGCAGTGTGATTACAACGTTCAGAGCGTGTACCTCATCAACTGCTAAAATTCTAATCAGACAGTGCGCACTGAGGCAGCCAATGATAAACCTCCGGTGAAAGCTTAATGTGACTATTTTCAATTTCATATGGTTCCTTTTACAGCATCGGTGTTGTAATGTAATTACAATACATTCAGGGCATACTCTAACTAGGCATGGTTGCCTTGAACCATGCTGAAGCGCGATTGTCCCCATCCGCTCTCCTGACAGCCTGCACTCACACCGCATCTTTACCTACCGATGGAGTTTTGACGCTCATAAATTTTAACAAAAGCCCTTGTGCTGCAGGTATTGAGAGGCTTGCTGAAGATCTAGCTGACGTGCAGCAAGGGGTTTGGTTCTTTAATAAACTACAACAGTTTGTGTTCATTGAAAAGTAAGAATGATTAATAATTCATAAGAAGCAGTTCCTTAAAATTGACGTTGCATCTTCAGTTTCGGTCAAAGCCACGCTTTGCACTCACACTAAATGGAAGTCTAATTGAACCACGCTCTGGCAGACCTCTTCCAACCGGGCCAGGGGCAGCCAAATAATCTATGCCTGAGCCCGATTCTGAACCCTCACACTTGTGAAAGAAACTGGGAAATGCATCTGGGCAAGGTTCGGATTGCAAAGTGTGAGTGCACCCTCAGTTAAATAAACGTAACCATTCATTTAGTTGTTCAAGTGTAAAACGAGATGAACCACCAGCGCTGTCAGGATTAGCAGGAAAGTGCAGAAACTCTATTGAAAATATTAGGGTAAAATAAACAGTCATAATATAAAATATGGCAGGAAAAAAAAATCCAATTTCATGCAGTGCTTCTTGTTCGGTTTGAGACCCACTTCAAGATCGCAGATTGTTAAAGAAATCAGACCTTAAACGTGGCAATTGTATAATGAAAAGACAGTTCACAGGAAGTGCTGAGGCAGGCTGTATGTCACATTTTCCTTCTTAAAAAATGTATACATTTTCCTTCTTAAAAAAAAAGAAAAAAGGAAAGTTCATAATTTTAGGACATATTATTGAGCTTATTCTTGAAAGCGGAAGTGCGCTCGTCTTTGTGATTGTTTTAGAACTTCCGATTCAGTTGCCTATGAGAGAAATTACTAGGAATAATAAACGGCAAAAAGCGGTCAAACAATTTGCTCTACAAACAAGTGTGTCCATGACTATAAAGACAAAGCAAAATAATATAATAAGAAAATGTTAGTTTCCAACATCAAGCAGCAAAACAAGCTGTTTTAACCTCTAAAAGTGAATGGAAGTGAATGAGACCGGAAGTCGAGCCAAAAAGATTCAAATGGCTCAATTCGCTTGTATGCAAAGAATAAAGGCTGATTTATACTTCTGCGTCAAACGTCGGCGTATGTTACGGCGCTGGCGCATAGCCCTTCGCCGAGGCCATCGCAGTCACTGATGTGCACCTCTCAAAAAATATAACTACACGTCGCAATGACGCGTAGCGTAAGCTCTGTGATTGGTCAGCTTGGTAGCGCTGACGAGTCTGGGCGGGACCGAGAGCCGCACGAATGGCGCGAGCGATTGTTTACAAGTGTGGAGTCCCATGAAGGAGCTCCGGATGGAAAGTTTTGTTTTGTGTTTACCTCATAGTTAAAGTTGTTGCACGTACGCCGGTTCCTGCCTCAAAATGAGCGAATTTGAGCCACTTGTACATCCCGGAAGTGTTCAGGAGAAGCAAAAAAGCAGAGAAGAAACTCGACACAGAGGAACATTTACACCTCACTGCCCACTAGCGTTTCGGAAGTGTTAATGCAGACCGACAGAGACAGCGCGCAGAAGTATAAATGCACCGCCACGCGCGTTGCCTGTGCCGTGGATTACACCGGTCACTTGACGCAGAAGTATAAATCAGGCTTAAGGTGGATAAGTAAGGACAATGAGATGCAGCAACATTTGTGAACTGCATGTCCTAGCAACAAGTTTATATTCAGAACAAGAAAAGGCTTTATATATATATATATATATGTGTGTGTGTGTGTGTATATATAGACACTTACTGTCGTATGTACATCACTGCTTCTTCATACTTCATTCCACACTCGAGTAAGGCTAAAGCCACCAGCACAGGTGCTCTGTGAAAAATAGACAAAACTGATTTAATGAAAACTCGATGACCAAGAAGAATTTCATTTTCAGGTCATAAATTTTGCACCTGCATCAACAATGATCAAAGTATAGTGTACCATCTTCTGGAGCTCATTAACAACAAGTGTGCTTGTGTTCAACAGAGAAACTATATTTTGAGCCGCATGTGTACGCAAAGAGGTCAGGAGCTGAGACTGCAGTCTGTAGAGTTCTCACACACACACACACACACACCCATCCCAAAAAAAAATGCTGAACAAACAACAACAAAAAAAAACACTTTTACACTTGGAAAGCGGCACGACCACAGGCTCGTTTTAAATGGTGCTGCTGTCTGCCCCTAAAGGAACTTTGGTAAACTGAGCTCAGGGAAATGAATGCGAGAGTACAGAGTGCACTGTACTGCCCACAATGTTGGTTACACTTGCAAGTCACAGACGCTTACCTTCTCAAGTTGAGCCTGGTTAGTGTTGTGTGTGTTTGTGTCAGCAGGTTTATATAGAGGTGAGAAAGGCTGAGTGCTAAATTTGCAAAAGCGTTTGTAGAGAACACAAGTGGTTCTCACATGCACTCGTTACACGCCTACATATTTTTGACTACTCATGCTGCTTGAGCAACTAATCACCTGTCGCCTGGTTATTTCCAAAAATCTATTTATTTTTATTAAACCATAAGAATTACCATGTTTTATCCATAACCTACTGAAAAGAAAAAAAAAGTTGTTTATAGTTACTATATACTACTGTATTTAGTTACTATAGTAGCTTATAGTTACTAGTTCTATTGGATTGCGACCCTTGAGGTAGTTACATTATATGAAAGACACAGCAATAGCATCAGATGAAGCAGATTGATTTTATAACACCAGGTTAAACTTTCAGCACTGACAGACATTTAAAAAAAATTCAACAGAGAATAAACTTGGGTCTATTGGTGTGTGTGTGTGTGTGTTCCATTGCATGCAAGATTTTTGTATTTATAACCACCTCAGAGGATATTGGGGATCAAGAGTCACTGACATTGTTATTTAGAGGGTTGTGGGCTGAGAAGTTTGGGAACCCCTGATCTACACTACCTAACAAAAGTTTTGTCGTCGATCGTAGTTATAAGAGCAGCAAATAATATCTTCACTTCTAGCTGATTGTTTGGGAAAGTGTCAGAAGGTAGATTTTTCAGATGAATCATCTGCTGAACTGCATCTCAATTATCACAAATACTGCAGAGGACCTATTGAAACCCTCATGGAGCCAAGATTCTCACATAAATGAGTCAAGTTTGGTGAAGGAATCATCATGGTTTAGGGGAATACATTCAGTATTGGGGTGTGTGAAAGATCTGCAGAGTTGATGGAAATTTGCATTTCCAATGTCTTGATAAAAACACAGGAGAGGGCAAACTCTACATTAAAGTTCCTGAAAGGAAAGAAGGTCAAAGTGCTCCAGGATTGGCCAGCCCAGTCACCAGATATGAACATTATTGAGCATGTCTGGGGTAAGATGAAGGAGGAGCCATTGAAGATGAATCTAAAGAATCTTGATGGACTCTGGAAGTCCTGCAAGAACGCTTTTTGCCATTCCAAATGACTTTATTAGTATATTCTATACTGTACATTTTTTCTGTTAGGTGACAAGACTTTTGTCTAAGCAAAGTCAGACTTTAGTGTAAATCATAAAAAAAAAACAAGACATGATTATTTTATTTTGGTAAATGGATTTGTTCTTCAGTGTTCTTCAACTCTGAAAACTGAACTGACACTGTTTTAATTTACTTTTAATTTACAAATCAAGGTGAATTGAATTGTATTAAAATAAAATAATCGTAATCTGGAGACCTTTGCCTTTCATATAAAACATTTCTGATACTAAATGATCAATTAGAAGTCAAGTTATTATTTCTTGTTCCTAAAACTTAGATAGGCGACAGGACAACTAATGGACTCAAAAAAAGAAAAAAAAAAGGTCGAACATTAAAGATGCTCAAGAATGCAACACTGTGCATGGGGTCTACATTTTTTAAATTAGATGACTGTGGTAAATTGTAACTGTATTCTGGGAAATATGGGAAATAAGTATTTTATGGAGAAGGGCACTTCTTTGGGATCATTTTTATACGTTTAGTTATTATTTTGTCATGTAGAGTATGTAAACATCTGATGTGAGATCGTTTATTCAGGGTATTATGAAAAAAAAAACTTTACTAGTCCTCTTTTAACATGTAATATAATTAGCATATTTTCTGAAAAATCGTGCGATTATCTAGAAAGCTCAGACAGCAAAATTCAGAGAGGGTGCTCGCTGCAGAGCCATTTGAGCAGAGCTGAGCTCCAGCGAGGGGGAGCATGAGCTCTCGCTCTGCCTCCTGTAAGCTGTTTTAATGCGTACACCAACCCCACCCCTAACCCTACCCCCAGTGACATCACTCGTAGAAGAAGTGCAAAAAAGGTGGAGCTCAAGCTCAAGAGCTCCCCCAAATGGCTCTGCAGCGAGCACCACTTGAAAATTCATGAAAAATGCTCAATTAGAAAACCTCTTTAAATTGCAACTCTATTAACAAATAAATGCAGCATTAGTAATCATTAGAGCATATCAATGCAAGACATGTATGTCTTATCAATCAAGATAATGAGGGATGAACTAAACCCAGTTTCTCTTATTTAAAAATAGTTTCAAGAAGCACATTGAGGACTCACCGGCCCAACCCTGCAACACAGTGAACGGCAATGCAGCATCCTGGCTCCTCTCGGAACTTAGTCTTCAGCAGGTTTAACCAATCGTCTACAATCCGAGTGGGGGGCGAAGCTCCATCATCAAAGGGCCAGTCCTGCAGCCACAGAGGAACAGAAAACAAACAAACATCAAGTTGGATTTTGCTGATATGTCTTCACATTTCAAAGCAGCAGAGAAAACATTCGTAATGTGAAACAGCTCGAGAACTTGAGATGTTTCACAGTTTGCAGAACTTGCCTGTGGAGCTAAGCATTGTGGGAGAACAAACTGTTCATATTAACTGTTTTTGGGCAAAATGCCACAGAGATCTGGTCTCCTCCCTGATAACCACACAACTAGTGAGAAAGAGCTGAGAGGAGAGAAAAAGCAGGAGAGGATAGTCTTTGGAGTTTAAGATACATAAAGTGAAGCTGGAAAGATGAGATCCATAAGAAGTGGAGGAGTGGAGAAGATAGAGGGGAGTTTAGGGTGATGTATCGGTTCGCTGAAATGACGCACAAGTCTAATATCGTCCTGAGGGAGTATGGTGGTTTTCTGGTAAAACCAATTGCATCACTAAAACACAGCTTAGGACGACATTAATTATCAGCAGTTCTATATAGTTATCTCTGTCTGCTTTTTAATTCCTCTTTGAATATTCCAAGATCTGATCGTGTGTGAAGATTGGCGCTTGGCAATGTTGAGGAGAAAGGGTGTGTGGGCGAGAATGACAGATAATGGAAACGGACTGGCTGGCAGATCTGTGTCTGTGCAGCTGTCTGGGCCTCTGTGCTCCTGCTGACCTGCAGACAGCTTTTCTCTTTCTTCTTAAATGCTTCTTATTCAGTCCCTTGTTTCCCATCAAACCTTGATCTTTCCTTTTTCTCTTTGTTAACTGTGAGTGAACAATATCCAAACAAAAATATGAGTAAGATGCACTATATTGAAGAGCAGAACCTTTTTTTTGCTCCTAATGTACTGGTTCCAGTTACAGTTAGCTATAGCTATATTTTACTTATTGTATGTTTACTGTAACCACCCTACCGTGACTGCTCTGTACTTTCTCTTTAAGGAAGTAAAGATATTGCTTCGTTCCAAACACCTTTCCTTACTTATTATTATTATTTCCAAATAACTCTCTGTAGGTTATGGGAAATGATCAAATGCATAAAGGAAAACAAAGGCGGGGGTTGAAATTTTTTTTTTTCTCTTTTAACATTTATTTTACTAAGAGTATTTTCTGAAAGCTCATGTGACCATTCAGAAAGCAAAATACATGAAATATGTTAAAATAGACAACATTTATTTTAAATTGCAACACATACGATTGTATTTTTAAAATAGTTGGCTTGACAATGCAATTTTATTAAGCCCTCTTTTAACATTTAATATAATTGGCATATTAAAATATTTCTAGACAATGGAAATATTTTTAGACAATGGTCATTGTACCATTAGTCTGGAATAATTCAATAGTTATTCCAGAACCTAAAATATCTTCAAAATTGTGCTTCAAAATGCAAAATTGTTAAATGATTTCCGTCCAAGCAAGCTCACATCTGTTCTTTGTAAATGTATGTAACGCATAGTGTGTAGGGAATCCCTTGCAGTTTGTGTATAGGGCCAACTGGAGCACTGTGGATGCCTCACTTACTCTTGAAAATGTTCAACATCATCTAGATAGGCAAATACATATGTTATAATACTCTTTATGGATTTTTCAGCTGCTTTTAATACTGTTCAACCCAATCTTCTTTTAGAACATCTTCATAATTTAGGAGTGAGCAGTTGGTTGATTGTATGGATGAGAGAATTTTTTAAAACAAACTACAACATGTCTGTGCAGGGTTTGAAATTGCGACCATTTTAGTTGCATATGCGCCCAAAATTTTATCTATGCGACCTCGAAATATATTTGGGAGCATTTCTGCGAGTGCTTAAAATTGTTGTGTGCGACCAGTTTTTACTGGAAAATGTTCACCACATGTGCGGATTCGGGAGGCATTCACGCAGAATGAATCTCTAAGCTCTTTGCCTGCACTTGAAACGCAGTGCTCAGGAATGGTTTATAACAGTTGTCATGTCAACTTGCTGCAGTAAACAAAGCCAAGTCCGTAATGCTTGCCCCGCCTTCGCGCTCTTCTTATTGGCCCACCACTGCTCTAGCACTGAACGCGACTGATTGGTTAATATCAGCTGTCAATCACTCAGTCAGTGCCTTCTTGCTTGGGATGACAGGGAGAGCTATTACCATGAAAAATTGTAAAGCGCTGAAGACGAGAATGAAGATAACACTGACAGATTTTGTTTTAGAAACCATGGCATCTAAAGTTATAAATATTGACACATCTTACTAGTGATCATGTGCTGAATGTTAATCCACCATCTACACTTTTCGAAGAGTGGATAAAAGACTTCCATTGGCTTCAAGTCCGCTATGAAAAGTCTGTGGGATGGACATTTCAGGTAACATTAACAGTTTGCCACATCTAGCAAGAGAGCTTCTGTTTAATCCTTCGTATAATCGCCAGATGCTGTCCGCCGTGCAAGGGGCAGCTATTTGTCAAATTTAACACCACGTACACCATCACAAACGGCTTGAACAGAGAAAACTAACATCGATACTCCTAAAAATACCTGTATTGCTATCAACATGACATATGCATATAATAAGATACAGAAACGTTACATGTCAAAAGCATCAGTGCAATATCAGACAATAGCAATATCAGTTATATCATTAACAGATTCATTCAAGCAGTGTGTGCAGGGCCGGTGAGCGCTCAGTGTATCTTTTGGTCAGCTATGTTATAAAAATGTATTTTCTTGTGATAACGAGATTTTGTTGAGACATATTTTTCTTACGCTTGCGCGCATATATATATATATATATATATATATATATATATATATATATATATTGCTTGTTAGTTTGATAAGTGTTGATTTCAAATGCAATAAATATGTTTGTACTTGTAACTTGTAGTAACGGTGCTCATAATTGGTGGGTGCGACAATTTTGGCTGATGCACATACATTTTTAAAGTTAGGAGCACCGGTGCTACCAAGCAAAAAGGTTAATTTCAAGCCCTGCTGTGGTAATCATGTATGTCTGACTGCTCTGTTTTAAATATAGGGGTACCTCAGGGATGAGTATTATCCTCCATTTTATTTTCTATATATATTAATGTTAATATATATAGAAATATATTAATATATTAATTCTCTCTCTCTCTCTTATAAAAAGGCTGTTTATAAGTCAGCGCCACAGTCTCCTCCCCAAGTTTTAATTTTAGTATACAGACTTTAAATATGGCATATAGATCATTAATAGAGAGTGTTCTCACATATAATATTGTTTCATGGTTTGGTAACGCAACACTTAAACAGAAGAATAAATTATTGCAAATATTCAATCAGGCAAATAAGGTAACTGGTCACAAACAACATTCACTGCAGATTCTATTTGACTCTTTTATGGAAAAAAAAACTGCATTTAAAAAAAAAAGATAATACACATCCCCTTCACTCAGATTTTGAAATGCTACCCTCAGGACTTAGGTTTAAAATTCCTAAAGCCCAAAGGAAAGAAAGAAAGAAAAAAAAAAAAAAAAGTCATTTATTCCAATTGCAACTGTTGTCTTAAATCAGGTCGCTGTTTAAAGTGAATAGGGTGGTTTTCAAGAATGATGTGCAGTAATATGTACGGGGCTAATTTGTTTTTTAAATTTTTAACAAATGTTGCTGTCTTGCTGAGTGTTGTTATTGTGTGATTGTCATATGTATGCAGTTGTTGTTTTGTTTAAGACCAAAATCCTTTCTGTGACAAGCAGAATGGAGAATGAAGTTTAAACTAGACTAATTAATCTTACTCCTGATATATAGCAATTTGAATACATTTGTAGCTGTCTATATATATATATATATATATATATATATATATATATATATATATATATATATATATATATATTTTTTTTTTTTTTCTTTTTCCCAACCTTGCACACAGAGTACTGGGGCCCATTTCAAAAAGTTGGTCGAGTTGAAACTCTTAACCCTAACATGATGGTTTCAGAATTGCAAAAGCGGGGCAAGTCAAATCAGTTTCTATACACTCAGTTAACTTTATTTTAGGGTTAACATACTCAGACTTTTCACTTAATCTCCTTTCTGAAACAGGCCCCAGGTGATCAGAGATGGTAAATAAACCCGGAAGGTTATCTAGGCTTTTCCAGCAGGGTCGGGATAAGATAACATCAAACATAAACAAGAACATTCTGAGCACGTTTCCCCCCCCCACCAAAGGCCACTAAGAATGAGATGTGTCTTCATTACACACACCCACATACAGCACTTGTTGGTGACATCAGTGTGTATCTGGGTGAAACAACTTGCATGATCCAAAGAAAGCATTTTAGAGGTTTCACTTGAGATCACATAACCCTTTAATGCATACAATCACAGCAGTGTGATCAGTCTAGGCAGGTCACTGAAGTGTAGGATCACACCGGTGTGATTAAAAAATGCAGTGCGTCACATGATCAGCTGCTAATTTGCTTTCCCACCATAGTTTGTCATAAATCACAATTACGTTAAAATAGTTTGGGATCCTATAACACTCATTTAAAAACAACATTTACTATATGTTTCTTGCAGTTAAACAGACACTTTATTTCATGTATTCAGAAGTATGTGATGAATTTAACTGATTCAGTACCTTAAATTTCTTGCATATTTGAGAATTGATTTAGGAAGTTTGTTAACATTTGCAGAAAAATAGAAAGGAAAAAAAACAACAACTATATATTCATTGGCTTGCAAAGTGTAATGAACATCACTAAGGAAATAAAAGTGACTTAAATGTAAATGGTCATATTGAAAAACAGATGCAGTAAAGTCAGCAGGAGATTTAAAAATTTTGCTGTAAAAGGGTTGAATAATTAAATTGTAAATAATTCTAATTAGTAATTTTAGCTACAGCACACGTGAACCAATCCTATCTCCAACCCATATGAATTAGGTATTTGTGAATGTACGTGGCTATTTCATAAAGACAACTGCTAAACATTTCCCCTAAGAACAATAACATACTAAGTTAGTAGAGATGGTTTCCGTTTTCATGGGGCAATGTGCAAGAAAACTAAACTTCATGTTAGAGTTGGTTAGTGTTAGATGTATTTGCACACCTCTAATTATAAATTAACAGAAGAGAGATGGAATAGCTATCTTCAGTCTCATGCTGACACTTACTTTCTTAAAATCTTTTGAACAGTAATGTTTAAATTAAAACGTTGCCTGTCATGCACACAAAGACAATTATTTGTTGCTATTAGTTTTTTCTTCTTCAGTTTAATAGCAATTTTCCATTTTGATGCATTTTTAAAAACAGCTCCTGCTTAATGTCTCTGTGGAAACAGTGATGCGTTGTTTCCTCTATACTTTTACTACAGGAAAGTTCCAAACAACATTTAGCAGAAATGAACATCCTCTGTAACACTTTGCTCTTGTAACTTTAATGAATTTAACACTTTCATGAATTTACACTTAAAGGCCACCTATTTTCCCGTTTTGTACAAGATGTAGGATAAGCTTTTGGTGTCTGCAGAAAGTGTCTGAAAAGTTTCAGCTCAAAATACCCATCAGATAATTTATTATAGCCTCCAGAATCTGCCAATTTTGGTGTCTGAGTACAGTATAGCTGTTTTTGTAGCCTGTGGCTTTATATGCAAATCCCGCTGCTTTATCCCGCCCAAGATTCCCACATGCGTATCTGCTTATCATGCGTTAAGCTCATTACTCTAAAATACTAAGTAAGTTTATTTGATGTATTTGCGGTGGAGTTTTTCAAGCCTTTCTGAAAGGATGGGTCTCACAAATGCTGTTTGCAGTACACACACACACGCGCACGCACGCGCACGCACGCACACGCACGCACACGCACGCACACGCACGCACACGCACGCACACGCACGCACACACACACACACACACACACACACACACACACACACACACACACACACGTGTGCATTTACCGACAACATGCAGCCGTGGTAATTATAGCAGTTAAGAAAAACAGTGATTTTACGATCTTTATTACAAACATGCTTTGTTTTAAAAACTTTATAAACTTCTAAGAACCACAGAGTTAGAACAAATATTTTAATCCCAGTTTCTCTGCAAAAACATTTTGTGGACAGGTGTGTACATGTTATTATAGAAACATGGCGTCTGTCAATCAATTCGGTGGGTGGGAAAACTGCACTCCTACGTCACGTTGTGGTGGGCCACAAAATCACTGGAATTTGGATTCTTTTTTTAAAACATGAAATTTTTAAAACAAGACTTGTTGGGTTTTTATCAGTCCAATATAAGAACATACTATAACTACACACAGTTCTGACTAAACAGCTTACAAAAGTTGATTTTCATCATAGGTGCCCTTTAATTTGAAAAGATAAAACTTAACCCCAACCTTTGAAAGACAATGCATGTGAGCTCAATATTTACCATTTGAACATGTAAACATAAAAGGCAGGATAAATAATAATGAACAGGGCACAACATTAAGGCCCTGTCCTACTGTGAGTGTTTAGAATATTTCTATACTTTCACTGACTAAAAACCTTAAATTACAAGAGTAAATGTACAAACTGGCTTCTGTTGTTCTTTTATATTAATGATAGAATATTGAAACAATACATTAAACTAAAAACATAATATTAAAATGGTTTTAGCTTCAATATATTTTTTGCATGACTCCAAAAGCCACTATGAGATGCCTGGACATGTTTGGCTTTATTAACAGTTTAGTTAACCCTTTAAAATGGTAAAGCAACAAACAAAAATCCTTGATATTCCATGACTTTGGCAAAATATACATCCAAACATTCCCTGATTTTCAATGTCCTGAAAGGACCTTTTAAAATACCATGATATTCCAGAACTGCCCCATGGAAACCCTGGTATTTTTGCCAACTTTAAAAAGAGAGTAGCATTGCCTTTTCATCAAACAAAGCCAGCTGATCTAGCAGAAAAAGCAGTGTATCCTTAAGTGTCATGTTGACTTTTCTTCTCACTCTAAACACTGTTGTTCAGTAAGATTTACTCACAAAGACTTGGATGCCCTCCTTCTGCACTAGTGCCGTGTCATAGGTGGCTTCACATACTCTGACCAGTGTGTTCACCTCAAACTTCTTCAGCTCCTAAGGAAAAAAGAAGAACGAAATGTGAGACAGATTATATCTAGGTTTTGCCTTTCATGATAAGCTCTGAAAAGCCTCTCTTACCTCAGTAAACTTGTTGAGAGTGGAGTTGGTGGGGTTGTGTGTGATGAGGAATCTCATGCAGTCATAGGAAATCTCAACAGCGGCAGGGCGGTTCATGTTGGCAAGACGTCTTTAAAACAATTACAATGAAGTACTTATAATTCCTGTTCCTTTTTTCTTTTCAAAAATCTTTGGCTCAGATCTCAGCAGTATGAAAAAATAAATACAGAACAAAAGATGTATTTAAAAAATGATGGGTGGACACTGGAATACTAGAAGTACAAACAAAACGTAAAAAAGAGGGTGATCTAGTCCACAATGTTAAAAAAAGTAGAACAAAAGGGATGAGAAACTGAAAGAAAAATGGGAGACTATCCTTCAGTCATCCAATTGAGACAATTGAGATTACCCCATTCAGGAGAAGAGTTTCTGATTGGCTACAGGGAGAAAAATCTGTAGGAAGGAATGAGACAGGGATGCTCGAGGACTACACGGGATCCCAAAAGGGTATAGAAGAGACAGACGGGCCCAGTGTGCTGGCTGTCAGGGAGGCTTCTGGGTGGCGTAGTCCCACGGGCAGCTATCGATTCACTTGTCCGCAAAGGTGAGGTGCTGAGCCTGGCAGAACTCTCTGCAGACGGTCACAAACGCCATATATGTGTGATCCGAATCAACACGGAAACACTGGAGAGAGGGAACAAGAAGGTACAGTGAGTGCAGAACAAGACAAATCAACTCAACAGTCATTTTGACATCCTTTCAAATCGTATGAACATCTAATAAGTAATCTTGCTCTGCTCTAACTGATGATTCATTCTGGCTGCTGCGTAAGCCCATGACTCGTCTCATTGAGAAAAGCAATTGGAAGCAGGGGTGTATGATAACAGCACGTCTAGGACATCAAGACACCTACTTTCTGATGTGGCACAGAGCGCAATGTCCTGTGTCATGCAAATGCCACGTTTGCCTCTTAAATGAAGCGACTCTCTAATCAAAAGCAGTGCCCAGGGGAGGTAAAAAAACCAAGAGTAGAAATCAAAAGAGAAAGGCTGACATGTATTGTCTCTTTGTGCCTTTTTACAGGCTGGGCTTGTTGCTGAATTTCAAAAACTCAAATAGTCAAGGATTAAAGTGAGGCTACGCTTCAAACAGCATCGACTGTTTCACAGTCCCACGCTTCTCTCGTAGACTCGCCAACCCCATCCACACTAAAAAGGACACCCTTCAAAGTAACCAAGTCATCTTGGCTCACTGTTCTGTAACAGATTGAATAACCGCATTAAGAAGAAAAAAAAAAGAACGCACAATGAAAGTCTTCAGGATGCCAGACTTGGACATGTTGAGACAGACACGATTTAAAAAAAGGAACATCAGAAGACTTGGACTGTCAACAAGTTGCAATTCTCAGAAGGAAAGAGGCAGTCTCGGATGCTAGATCCAACAGATGAGGCTAAATAGACGGCAACAAAAAGAGAAGAGAGTGGCCTCTTTATAAGAGAAAAAGCAGCAAGACTAGGAATGTTATTATCTTATCAAAAGAGGAGCAGGGCTAAAAGCTTGCTCCACACTAGAACATCACAAGTGCTTTTTTAAGCAGTCTCCAGGGGCTACATGGTAAACCAACAGCTTACAGGAGAGACCCGAACTAAACTAAGAAGCACATCAACACAAAGGACAAGCAGCTATCATTTTAAGGCCTCATTTACACCTGATATTAAAAGGTTTTCAGCATTAATTCATGAGAAAAGACTTGGTTTGAACCAATCAGTGTGCTCTCTTATTAACGGGATGCAACTTGATTAATATGCATGATATACGCCGATTTCACGCGGCCGCTATTTTAAAGAATCAAAGCGAGGCTGCGGTGGGAAGAAACCCGGAAGTATAGGACCAGCACTGTAAACATTGCAGTAACATGCTGTGTACTACAAACCTCCGGCCGTTGTCGAGATTTCAAAATGCAGAAATGGTGTAAGCATTACTTCAATATCATTCAGTAAGTTTATTTTAAACAATTAAAAGTAAATTAGCATCAAACAAGATCACAATTTCAGTGATATGCTTAAGTGTCCTCCTAGGCTTCAGCTCATGGCACTAGTTAAAATACCGTGGGGACGCTTTCCTGCTTCAGCCTATGTAACCCAGTGAGTGATAAAACACAGCAGTCCTCTGCAGCACACCCTCGTGTTGTCTGTAATAGTGTTGTCCTGGTACTGATCTTTTAAACCCGGCCATTTCCCGCTAACATGGAAGCGCTGCTGTGCGCGGATGACTCGACTGATCTTCACGGCTTCGCACTTCAGTCTCCGTGTATCTGTGTTTGGTTTGCGCTCAGTTTACCGCTCTTCACCCAGTGCAAACAGATATACAGACTGGTGCGCGAAGCAGCCGTCAAGATCAGTCGAGTCATCAAGCAGATCGTTCGGCTCGTCCGTGTTTTTGCTCACCCTGCTGAAAAATCCAGCTTAAACCAGCCTAGGCTGGTTGGCTGGTTTTAGCTGGTTGACCAGCCTGGTTTTAGTGGGGTTTTGGCCATTTCCAGGCTGGTTTCCAGCCATTTCCAGCCTGGTCTTAGCTGGTCATGCTGGAAAATTACCAGCCAAATCCAGCTACAACCAGCTTGACCAGCCTGGATTAAGCTGGATATAGCTGGTTTTGGCTGGACTCCCAGCTTGGCTAGGCTGGTCAAGCTGGTTTTAGCTGGTCATCTTCCAGCCTGACCAGCTAAGACCAGGTTGGAAATGGCTGGAAACCAGCCTGGAAGTGGCCAAAACCCCTCTAAAACCAGCCTGAACGACCAGCTAAGACCAGCCAACCAGCCTAGGCTGGTTTAAGCTGGATTTTTCAGCAGGGCAGTAAACAGCGGTGGGTGAACTGATGACCTTCTCGGCCAATCACAATCATTTCTGTTGAACACGTGACCACAATGGCAAATCAGCTGTTTTAAGAAAGCTATCAACAGTGCCTTAAATGTTAGCGTGAAATTTTCTTTTCTTTTAATTCAGTATCGTGACAAGTCTAATATAGTGAAAAAATCAGTTCATTAACTCGAGTTTGATAAAAGGCATCTAAAACGTGTGTTTGGGAAAGAAAACATTAGCTAACTAGTGCCATTTGCCTTCACTTAGCTGAAAATGAGCTCCGATCTCCCTTTTTATTTTCACCATTCATTCAGAACGGACCTTCGGGTCACCTGGAAGGCGGAGAAATTATAAATTTGTGTCACTTTATCTTCGCTGATAAGATTTATAGCCAGCTACACAACATTCCTATGTAACTGCCAATGATACTTCCGGGTTTGAGACAGCGAGTTGTGTTGCCAACTATAAGTAGTAGAAGAATTGTTCTGAGACATGGGTTGTCAGTTATGCATTTAGAAATGTGCTGCAATGAAGGTTTTGTTTCCATTTTCCCACGATAAGAACACAGTTTGCGTTTAGACCCATGTGGGTGGATTACTTTGGTCTGCCAACACACAACAAAAATATGTCACAAAATAACAAAAATATAATATATATAAAATTATGGCTCTTTAAGGTTGGAATTTGGTTACAAGCAGAAACACTTAATATAATTGTCATCAACTTTTATCCACCTCTAGGAGGTAGTCGATGAATCAATAGATATCATTCCTTCATGGCATGAATGCGGATGCAGTTGAATGATTTAAATCAGCCAACTGACCTAACATAGTGCACGCTCATAAAACAGTTTATAAAGTATTGAGTACTGACCCTAAAGTTTCAGTGAAAGAAAAAAAAGTTGCTTATAAAATACACTTATTTTATTTTACAATGTTTTACTTTTAGAAAATTACAAACCCTTGTTTTAGTGTTGATTCATAGGTGGGCAGATTTGTTATCAGGGACGCATTCATGTTTACACTATAAATACAGCAAGGTTGCATGCATTTCTCACCACCACCACAAAATGCATGCAAATGCCAAAAATAAATATCGGCAGTAAAAAAAAAAAACACTTTATAAGAAGCAGTCTGAGATACAGCTGTGTGAAATGGTGTTCCTATCATAACCCTACTTCCTTCTGCTCTGCTTCTACCAGGAACTCATGCAAATCACACAACCGCATTTGCAAGCCGCTCCTGTAATTGCTACTACCAGAACATATGGGGAAGAAATGAGAGCAAAGTAACATAGTGAAACAGAAAAAAGAGGCAGATGGGCAGGTTGGAAAAAAGGCAAGTTTTAGTTTAAGAGCATTAGAGAAGCTTTCTGCTTTAAAGATCACCTAGTCGACACTCTGCACTAACACAATGCTCGCAATCTTCTCACGAGACACATCTAGCATTTAGAGGTCACACATATAAACTAGGCAGAACTGGAACAGTCCGGTAAGACATTCATTCGGTTTCTCTTTAACACCAGAGGCAAGCCAGTGTGAAGCCTCTGCTGTGTCACACATTCACCCTGCTCAGTTCCCCTGCTGCTTATACAAACACTCACACACATCAGCTGCCCTCTGCATGAACAGACTACTGGAAAAAAAGGAAGAATTCTCAGAAATGACAGTTTCATGTTGCCCACTGTTTTGTGAAATGCTGCTGCTTGTTATCTAGAGGAGAGGTCACTGGGTACAGAGCTCTGTCTGTCTTTCTCTCCATTTGCCTTCTTCCATCGGATCCCTCTTTCCCTCGACCCAACGCAGCTGGGAAAGTTTGAAAGGCCATACGGCTGCTCCTAATCTAGGAGTACAGTGTACATAGTGATAATGAGCATGCTATCTGGGAACACAGCAGCCCAAACAGGTGATAGAAAAGTGGGACGGACAGTTTTACGTTGCATGACTGAGCAAATCTCAAACTGCAAGAGCAGAGCCATGGGTCTTCACATTAATTATGTCAGGGATTAAGCACCACTGTTAGGAGGAATTGATCAGTTGTGGGAAACTGTGACTAATGTTGTGACTTAAACAAAACCACGATGGAGTCAATAGTGTAAATATGTACATATAACTTAAGTGGCATTCAAAAATGGGGGATCAAAAACATTTAAACACATCATATAAGAACATGCTAAACATATAAGAACACCTGCAAACATCATTGGGATGCTCCTTGGCAAGTAAAACGGATTACAGGGCTTTTGAATAGCTAATATGCCAACAGCGAAGCACTGATCCTCCTCAGATCCCTTTGATTTGAGTAACAAATCCAGCGGGGATACTGCGCCTGTCTTTATCATCCATCATAAATCCAGACAGAGACCTGCTCTAAATACGAGCCAAAATGTCAACGTATGAATGCACATTATACAGCCAATGTCAGAACACAAAGAATTAGGTCAAAATTAAAGCATCTAAATGACTGTAACTATCTCAATTAGCAACAAATGTCATTTGACAAAAAAAGACAAGTGAAAACATGGTAACACCTTCATAACACTGCATCTGACCTTAAGTTTGACCTGTATCAGGGTCAGATGCAAGGCCTTCCTTTCTCCTTCAGAGCTTTTAGGAAATGGCTCTGAGATCACGGGCCTTGGGCTGAGATACAGAGAGAACGATCCAGAAAGAACCAAAGATAAGAGCTGTGCTATGCCCTGCTCAAACTTCTGCCTATAATCCCACTAGTTCTGCATTACAAAGTGAGAGCAAGGCTTGCAGCCTTCAAGCATGTCAAACAAGTCAACATTACTTTATATATTTTAACAAGTCGGAAATAAAAA